GAGAACCCTCCCCCCCTCCTGAAGACTCTTGGGACGTATGACCTCATATGGAAACCAGGAAGTAAATGAAGGAATGCAAAACAACAAAGGTTAAAACAAGTAAATATGATATATTTTCTTATCTGTTTACTAATGCTAGCAGCATAAGGATTAGAAATATATTCCATGTTGATTGAGAGAGTGAAGTTCCACTTTAATATATTCTCAGAATTTCTCATCCAGTTGCCAAATTTTTGGTAGCATCTCTGAAGCCGCAGTTGATTTTTCTGGTGTCATTGTTAAAAACCATATGTCTAGCCTCTTGGCTTTTGAAAACAGTGTATTGGTGAAGGGACCTTTCTTCTCTTAAACTGCAGAGTATATCAATAAGAAAAGCTGTATCCTGTGAAGTCCAAATCCACATTACCATTTATTATTATTATACAGGATTTATATAGCGCCAAAAGTTTGCGCAGCGTCTTACAAGATGAAGGGAGAAGTTACAGTTACAATACAATTTGGTACAAGAGGAAACAGAGGGCCCTGCTCGTTAGAGCTTACAATCTAGGAGGAAGGTTTACCCCAACTCTACTATCACATTAGCAAACCCACAAATTCGCCTTCATTTACTTCCTCCTGCTTTATCTGTTACACACCTTCTGATCACATTGCTTGTGTCTATTGTAACCTTGTTTTATTTAACTGTCAAACTTTACCTCTGCATCCTGCTTTAAAAGGGTACAAGGGGTGGGGGGTTATTGAGAAGGCAAATGGGTTGAGAGTATGGAGAAAAATGGTGAAGAGAAATGTCAGCAGATGAAAAGGAAATGGATATATTTTTACTAATACTTTACGTTGCTATGAAACTGGCTATAGAGTCTATAGTAAACATTTGCCAGATCTCTACGTTTGCATTGATTTGCTGTTGTCTTTAGTATTGAATGAGTTAAGGGTAATCTTTACCTCTCTTTAGCATGTTTCAACTTGCCATGCTATGGAAGGGTTTTTGTTCCCTTATTTTCCTTTCTACACTCCTGTGAGAACGCATTCTTAAAATTCCTTTATGCTGCACAGCGGCTGATTATGAGCTTTAACGGCAACCCCTAGTGAGGACGCCAAATTATCATTACAATTGGTGTATAATTCCCCTATGGCCAGGGATACACTAGTCTTTCAATTTATTAGTACCTTGAATGTACAAAAGACTATACACTACAAACTGTAATGCCAAAATTGATCTGTCTGCTTTATTTGATAAAAATATAAAAACTCTACAGACAGAAAAGTTACCTCCGAAATATGAGCTGGTAAAAAAGGCAGCTATCTGGGTTGGGGCTATTTTCTATCTGAAAAGCAGTAGTAAACCCTGTTGGGTTTTTTTTTTTTTTTTAAGAGATTCACATATCATAATTTGCTAGTATGCTCTGCACCTAGCACATTATGGGAGTCGTGCCTAAAAAAACAGATCCCTCCAGCAGCGCACTGTCACTGCTGACATGGAATCCATCTTCTTCTGGTCTAGATCTGGCCATTCGAATGGCCAAGCTGCAATGATGTCACTCCCTTGGCACAGCTCTCTCAGTGAGTGAGATATGCTGTCCATTGGGAGAGCAGTGCACATGTGCTGGTGACGTCACCAGCTGCTACACAGGTAAATGCCTTATTATAGGCTTACCTGTAGGTACAAGATATAAAGTGGAGTTTACAACAGCTCTAAGGTCCAGAACAACATACTCAAACAGGGGATGGAAACTTTTTAGACCTTCATGTATAGTCAAATGAAGAAAAAACCTCAAACAAGCTTAGTAGCTTTGGCAAGGTAGTTCCCATACAACAAGGCTTCCCTTGATGGCCACGCTATGGTAGCCTAAGCCATCCAGTCTCAACCTGGGGTGCCTTGAGGTTTCTTCAGGGGTGCCTTGGCAAAACTTGTATACAAGCAAGCGGGTGGAGCATGCCTGTCTTTTTCTTTCACAAAGCCACAGGTTTTCATTGTGCACCATTACGACCTTCTAGCCTCTGGTGTCCTGACAACCAATGACATCATCAGGTGATAAGGAAGATGGCAGCTGCCTGCACAGTATCCTAGTTTGACCCACCTTTGCCCCTCTCCATCATGATGGAAATAAAATCTAACTTTTGTTGACATATTATAAGAATGTCTAATCTGTAATTTGATGCCTTTTGGAGATTTTTCCATCTTTCCTTGGCTTCTTTATGCCCATTAATACAAATTTTTAGCTGGGTGCCCAAACTTTCGATCCCCACTGTGTGTGTGTATATATATATATATGTGTGTGTGTGTGTGTGTGTGTGTATATGTATATGTATGTGTATATATATAATATATAGTATATATATATATATATATATATATATATATATATATATATATATATATAATTTTTTATTTTTTTTTTTTAAACTTAGCAGGCTGTAAAGCATTGCTCCCATGATCAGAAAATTGCAGGTGCAATGTCTGGCTCCTGCAGAATGTCAGTGTAGCTGTCTGCTCATACCTCTGATATGGGCAGGTAGTTGCTTCAGTCCAGGAAGTTCAATGGACTAAGAGAGCGCTCACCAGCACCCTGGCAATTTATTAAAAACTACAAGTTTTCAGCCGCAAAGTTCTTGTAGGCATTCGTTCACAGAACTCCGTGAATGAATAACACGGCAGTGTTTGCAAAGCTGGAGGAGTGGGAACATTTACATATTCCACCCTAAAAAAGAATGGAACATGTAACCTGTTCCCAAAAGTGAACTTATTCTTTCACAGATCTATATTAGAACCAGTACTCTCCTCATGGAGGAACAACTTAACAGCAGTTGCTGATCACCAATGGAGCTCGGTTCATTGTGGCTTGACAATATGCATTTTAGCAAATTCCAGTCTGGCTTTTTTTTTTTCTAAATGGTTCAGTCTTTCTGGTCCTTTTTTTCCTTTTGCGCACACTGTCACTCAAAAAGTGATATGTGGAGTGATCAGACACTGATGTTGCTTGTCCTTGGAGTTCACCATGTATCTCTTTGAAAGTTTTCCTTGGCTTTGTCTACCATTCGCACCATCCTTCTGTTCAATCTGCAGATGTTTTTCCTCTTGCTTCTCCAGCATCCACTGATGTTGGCTACACTCCAATGGACATTTAAATTCTTAATAATATTTTCGAACTGTATTGACAGGTACACAAAGCTGCTTAGAGAAGATCTTTCTCTGCTAGTGTACATTTTTCTTTCCTTTGCTGTTCGGTATCATGGTGTACACCATACTGAATATAGACCAGAGAAAGTAGAGTGAGTACTTTTCTCCATTCAAATGGGCATATTGAAGACCTGTGATACTAATTACAGGAAATGGTTAACATGATCAGTATGATCCAATTAATATTAAGCTTTTCTAGGGATACCAATAAATCTGTCCAGGCCATGGTAAAATATCTTGTTACAATAAGTAATATTTTATCTCTTTTCACCCCTTCTTTCCTTTCTCTATGATCTACCAAAGACATGCAGGTTTACCTATCAGGATCACTTTTCAGGATGATAGAGGCGCAGTTTCAATGAGCTGTAAAGCCAACCATAGATTATTATTATTAATTATACAGGATTTATATAGCGCCAATAATTTGCTCAGCGCTTTACATTATAATGGGAGACAATACATGAGACAGTACAGTAACAATACGATTTAATACACGAGGGGTTCGAGGGCCCTGCTCCTTGGAGCTTACAATCTAGGATCAAATCGCAGCCAGTTCAGCAGGGACCGGCCGAGAATCGATCTATCTATGGGCGGCAGGCTAGTTAAACTGAAGAAGATCCATCAGTCAACTTGGGTACCACCAGCCCATTTTGCTATAGCCGCTAGCAGTGATCATTGTGGTCTGCCAGCTGGGAAGGCTACTATGAAAATCGAGTGATTTTTCTTTCCTTCCATCTGTAATGGAAGGAAAGAAAACTGAATCGTTCATGAAAAAGGGGAAAACTTCCAAGTAGATTTCTTAGCCAGTATTAACTGAATTTTGAATGCACAAAAATCTAGTTTTTCCATAGCAGTATTAACTTTTTTTTTTTTTTTTAATTACTATTATTATTTATTAGTAATCTCATTCAGTTAATTTCCAGATATGTCAAGGTCTCCTTGTGTGTTGCACATTCTGGGATCCATTATGCTTGTTAATTGAGAAATGGGAAACAGTCGCAAGTAGTTCATTGTAGCGGAGAGCCGGAATAAACATTATCTGTCCTCCACCCCCCATTTCCCTCAGTCTGGTATAATAGATGACACATTGCCTGGTTAATGGTAAGAGAGCAGAGCGGCACACAGTAAGGGAGGGGGAGTGGAGTGGCGTATTGTTTAGTTTGGGATGTAATCTCTGTGTTGCTCGGCAACCAGCTTGTGGAGATGGGAGTGGACTGCAGTTGCTTCTAGCAACCGTTGTTTGCAGAGCAACAATCCAGGGGAGAGCAAACAGAGCCAAGCAAGGCAGGCCGTGCCTTACACATGGAGCATCTGCATCTGTTTTTTCTGCTGATTAAACATAGTCTGACTTGCACTCTCCGGCACTTAGCTGTAAACTCTGCTCTCTCTATTTATACAGGCTTATTTATATAGCTGTCTGCAGCCACAGCACAGACATGAAATATATGGATTTTCTTGTAATGCAAAATATCATTGGATATTATTGTGAATAATTAAAGAGTTTAAATCATCCCACGGCAGTTTTGAATATAAAATAGACTGTAATTGATAGACAGTGTTTTTATTCAATCCATTTATTCTTCACTTAGTCTCAAGGATAATGCTTGGGGTTCACAAACTTATGCTAACTATGTAATCAAGGTTTTTCCCACCACTTTTTAAGCATCCTGAAAATGGACAGACTGCAGTGACACATACTGTAGCTGGGCATTCCTGTTGGTATCAGTGGCTTCTGTTTTTTCTTTTAGCATAAAGAGATCCTATTTTGATGAAGTGTTGATTTTAATGCCCATGTTTTGTGATTTCTTACACAGGCATCAGCATGCAAAGTTCAGACAGTGGCTCAGATTCTGCAACGTCAGTCGCTCTACGGACGTCTGCATCGGCCCAGGCACCTGTAGTTCAGCCAGTACCAGCTTCCCAACAGGTAATATGTTGCCTATTAATTTGAGGTCAATCATCAAAGGTCTGCAGTGATTTGTCGTTAGCCAGGACAACTTTTATAGATTATCTGTATGCAAATCTTGGATTTGGGTTAAATGACCATCTGTAAGGGCCTGGCTCTTGTAACATTTTATATACATTATGAATTATTTGAGAGAGCTTGATAAATTGTAAAAATATAACTGTTACTAATTATTTTTATAAGTACAAATACTGAAAATGATCAGTTGTGTTTTCTCAATGTTGCTTATGCAAGCACATCAGGGAATGTCTTTTGGTTTTTTGGGGAACCTTCTTTTTCATAGCTTGACTGATTTTAGCTACTTCTCGTTATTGGTACATGCGCTACTTACAAGCCTTAAAGTGCAGTACTTAAAGCAGAGCTCCACTGTATCTGAGCACCACAAACCAAGAGTGCTATTTTAATTCCTTTATAATATTCAAAGTAAACTCCTCATCCTTCCCTCCATGCTTTTATTTTGCTGAGAAATCACTCCCCCTAGCGTTTCTGGACGTGCCCATCTTTAAGGGCTGATTCATCCATCCCTCCATGCTTTATTTTGCTGAGAAATCACTTTGAAAAATGCCCCCTAGAATTTCTGGATGTGGCCATCTTTAAGGGCTGATTCATCCATCCCTCCATGCTTTATTTTGCTGAGAAATCACTTTGAAAAATGCCCCCTAGAATTTCTGGATGTGGCCATCTTTAAGGGCTGATTTATCCATCCCTCCATGCTTTATTTTGCGGAGAAATCACTTTGAAAAATGCCCCCTAGTTTTTCTGGATGTGGCCATTTTTAAGGGCTGATGATTCATTTAGCATTTACTTCCTGGAATCAGTTTTCCCTTAACTCAGGCATGCAGACAGTACAGTGTGCATAGCTGAGAAAACCCCCTCCTGAAGACTCCTGGAATGTATGACATTTGCCTAGGCATAGAAAATAGGATGTACGGTAACTTAAGAAATGTGAAACACCGTTTTAAACGAGTAAATATGATATACTTTCCTATCTTTTTACGAATGCTAGCAGAATATGGATTCAAAATAGTCCATGTTAATTGGGAGAGTGAAGTTATACTTTAAAAAAAACACTATCCATTACCCGTTCAGGTCAAAGTGACAATGCCTTCTGATGGCTTACCCCAGCAATGTTTACTCACCAATCCACTGTAAAAGTCTAATTTAAGAGCCAGTTCACACCAAGAATTACACAGGAATGCGCTCGTGTTTCTGTGCGATTTTTGAGAGCAGTGCATGTTAAGCCCATTCATTTGAGTAGTGCATGCACTACTTTATGAAATGCTCTGCAACCAGATCATATGGCATTTCTGTACAATGCAGTCTGGTGCAGGCAAACTCAATGTGTTTTGGGGGTGGTGTAGTGTGTTTTTAACACTGTGTGAGAAACTCGCACAGAACATGGGTTTCCCACACTGCATTCTGGTGTGAAATGGCCCTGAGTAAGGTACATTGCAAGATGGCATCAGAGCTTGTCGCAGTGGATGGCATTTCTGCCTACCCATTTTTGGGCATGGAGATTGGGAGCTTAGGTCTGATTACTTCAACACCCAAGACACGTCAAATACTTTCTGTGTCTAAAATGGTGGAGCAGCTATTAAGACAAGGTATAGGGAATAGGTGCTCAGCCTGTGGCACTCCAGCTGCTGTGGAACTACAAGTCTCGTCATGCCTCTGCCTTTGGGAGTCACGCTTGTAACTCTCAGCCTTGCAATGCCTCATGAGACTTGTAGTTCCTCAACACCTGGAGGGCCACAGGTTGAGCACCCATGGTATAGGGCAGGGGTGTCAAACTGACAGGCTGCCAGCTATTGCAAAACTACAAGTCCCATCATGCCTCTGCCTTTGGGAGTCATGCTTGTAACTGTCAATCTTGCAATGCTTCATGAGACTTGTAGTTTGACAACAGCTGGAGTGCCGCCAGTTTGACACCCGTGCTAATAGGGCTTAATTAGAAAGGGACTCCAACACTTTTATGAAATGTTGGGTGACATTTTGTTATGGCTAATTGGTCACCATTTCAGTATCCAGGAACTGTCATAATGGAGGTTTATAGACAAAAATATCCATAAACCACTATATTATAAGATATATACTATGTATGTCAGTACAAGGAGAAAGGAGCGTGCATTTTGCACATTTTTGTCTTTTTAAAGCCTGTTTGCTGCACTTTTTTCTAGGGTGTTTTTATACCAGCCTTTTATGTAAAAATTTGTGCATATACTCAAGTTAGTTATTGATCCCTTTCACTTAAGTACGTCTATGCTTACTTGGTTCCTGGACACATTTAGGCATCGTTCACACAGGCGTACTATGGTGTACCCCTGTGCTTGCCTACACTGGGATGCACAGGTGTTTTCCCGTGCAGGCAGTGCCATTCATGTCAACTGGGACACAGCATCTGCATGGCCCTAACACAGGCTGTCTGCATGTAGGGCTGCACACCCACATGGCTGTCAAGTTAGAAGCAACAGGTGTGTCCATGGAGCTGGGTGTCCCAGTTGAAATGAATAGGGCTATCTGCATCCCTGTGCAGGCAAACACGGTCCTTGCAAAAGCGGACGCTATAGTCTGACTGTGTGTACAAGTTCCTACACACTGACCGACTGATGGGACTGTAGCTTGTTCTGTAACTTGCCACTGAGCATCCTTGCTGTAGTTAAATGGAATTTAAGTGAAAAATGGGAATTCCTGTGTAGTAGCTTGGAAGATTTTCCCTCTTGCAGTGTCTATATTTCATGACTGCAACCAGTTTTTTTTTTTTCTTTTTTTTTTTTTAACTTCATCTGCAGCACCCCCTTCTGGCATTGCGGACTGAATGTAAAATACAGCTGGCCTGTATGGCCTTCTGATGGAAACCCATCCAAGGTCTAATGCAGGCAACTGTTCCAGATATGCAATAAGGCTAGGTTTGTTGCGTTTTGAGCCGTTTCTGCTTTGCGTTGTGTTTTGCGTTTTTTGTACGTGTTTTTGCCGCGTTTTTAATGCGCTTTTTTTTTTCTTGTTGCTAGGCAGACTTAAAAAAATGCAAAACACAGCAAATACGCACTACATGCTCTTCTGCATCTTTTTTTTTTTTCTATTGAAGTCTATAGAATCAAAAATCAACTTTTTGCATTAAAAAAAGTCCCGACCCTTTCCAAAAAACGCTCCGGGTGAAAACGCGGAGATGCGCCCCATAGGAAATCATGTTAAATGAACTGTACTGTGTTTCTGTAAAATGCTGCGGAAACCGCTTAGGTGTTAGGGGTGCTTGTTGGGTGTTAGAATCCTGTCCTGAGGTTCCTGTTCTAGCTTCCTGTGAGGTGTCTGGCAGTAATTCCCCCTCCTACCTCTATGGTATAAACATGTACACTTCGCCAAGTCAGACAACATGGAGGCAACTTGATCACTTCTGCTCATTAGACCACCCTATAATGTATGAACTGGTCTAAATACGCTTACATCTGAGAGAACTGAAGCAACTTCCTGTGGGCTTAACCAGTATCCATATATTTTTTTTATTCGCTTTATATAATATAACTAACATCTGCTTAGATTTAACCAGTGGTAAAGAAATAATAATTATTTAAATGTTTTATTGCCTTTTATAGGAGTAAAATGGTCTTTAGCCATCTCTACTTTTCTGTTAATCACTTTTTCCTTCCAGAGGAGTTTGTCTCAGTCATCTGGCTCTGCTCCCAAAGGGGCACATGGTCAAGGTGTGCAAAGAGCTCACCAGATACAGCAGCAGGTAACAGCCTCAGATGGGCTAAGCATGGAGTCTGGCTGCTACTAATCAACCTGCCTACATGTCTTTTTATATGAAGTATCCAAAGTCTTGCTAGCACACTTACCTCGGTCTGCACTGAAGATGAATGTATTTTTGTGCTTCTTGTTAAACAGCATTAAAGCAACAAGTATTAATGCTGATTATTGCAATGTCTCTCCCCTTGCCTAAAATAGTTGAAAAGATTTAAATTTCAAGCCTATAAAAGTGATAAGCAAGCATTTGTTAAAGGACAGCATGGAGATCGTCTGTTGTGGCAACTGAATTTCCGCCAGCATGGATTTTAGAAATCGTATCGGGGTGCTGTTGTAGACCCTGATTGTAGATTAAGTGTACATGATTAGTAGAGTGCTACAATAGCATTTATGCACTGTCTATACACATTATGCTCTGCTGGTATAAATGCATTCACTGCTGAAAATAAAAATGTTTGTCCGGCCCAAAGTGTAGCTAAAATCCAACCAAAACTGTGAGCAAGGCTTAGAACTTCAGCCAGTATTTGCCTATATCCTCATTAGGAATATTCCCCTCCTTTTTTGTCCAGGTGACAGCTGTCTGATAAAACAAAAAAAAAAAATCCTGGGAACACAGACTACATTTTAAAGTGATGTTAAAGGTTACATTTTAAATAACAAACCTCTTATACTTGCCTGCTGTGTGCAATGGTTTTGCGCAAAATGACCCCAGTCCTCCTCTTCTCGGGTTCCCCGCCAGTGTTCCTGGCTCCTACTCTTCTCAGAGTATCCCCATAACAAACTGCTTGCTCTGGGAGCACTTGTGTGTGCTTGCTCCCGAACCCCGCTCTGTGTGTCAATATGATACATAGAACGGGGCTCGGCCCCACCCCTGTTGCTTCTTCACTGGCTGTGATTGACAGCAGTGGGAGCTATTAGCTGCCACCTTGCCATTGAGGAAGCAGAGACCCAGGAGAGCAATTGCTCTTGTGCACAGCTCTGGATCAGGCTCGAGTAAGATCTGCGGTCAGAAGGATTTTCACCTTCTTGATAGATGCTCCTTCAACCCTTTACAACCACTTTTCTTGAAGAGCTAAACCTTTTTTTCTTTTTGCAAGCCTTATTGAGATCTTCAGTTGGTACAGATGTGGTTAGCTATCACACCAGCATTTAGGGGCTTGAAAATTCAGTTGAGAACTGACATAAGCACACTGGCAACTGTGACAGGTATCACCAGAGCATGCTTTAAATGTTGCATTCACTGCACTAGTACTAGTAGGCAGAATGCAAAAGAAAACACTGCAGAGAACCACATTGGTGTAGTTGATAGACTTTTTAATACCATACATTTCTAGATAAAATTGCAGGGTTTAGTTCCACCTTAAAGTGGTTCTAAAGCCTAAACATTTTTTTACCTAAACATTTTTTGCATAAGGTTTTAGGCATATTTTGGCATCACTCCTTTACCTGCATTAAGGCAGCTCTTCTGTCCTCTAAAATTGCTGGGGCATTGGGAGCCAGGCTCTCTATCGAAGTTGTGACAAGGGACCTCACTCCCCCATCGGCTTCCCATTTACTGACAGAAAGGGGGAGGCAGAGTGCCAGAGGGGGGCCTGAGTAGGGGTTCGGGGAGCCACTCTGATATTTCATTGCACAGAGCAGAGTAAGTATAAAGATGTTTGTTTATTTAGAAAAATAAAAAATAGCTTACAATCCCTTTTTAGGTATCCATTCACACCAGAACACAGTGCTGGAAACACACATTCCTTACACATTTCCCACACTGCGTTCCAAACACACTGGGTGTGTGATCTGCTGCAGGTGTCAATAGTTTCCTAATGACATCCCAAATGCAGATGGCAAACGTAGTCTGTTTTTTTGCCTGCACTGGATCACATGGTACCGCACTACTATGTGATCCAGTTGCAGTGTGTTTAACAGTAGTGTATGGATACCTTTTGGCGCAATCCAGTGCAATTTCAGCCTATTTATGCCAAAAATTGCATTGCAATGAATCGTAAGGGAATGCAAGGTACATTCTGTTGTGATTCTGGTTTGAACTGGCTGTGTAATCCAAATTAAATTTCATATATGGGACCCTCACAGGATTATTGTATTTAGCATTTCACCTTCCCTGCAAATAGTACTGTTTAAACTAACCTTTATTAGGCTGTTTAGTTGTAATTATAAAGAATATATATATTATAAGAGCCCATTTACACTGTTGTCGTGCAGTAATGCACGCCCTATGCAATGCAGGTTTTATGCTTCAGCACATTGTGGTGCAATTCATTTTTATTAGCACATACTGGAAATGCATTAAGGGGAATGCAGGTGCATTGTGGTGTGCTGTTTTTGTTTTAAGTGCATTGGCTGCCTATTCATTTGATTTTGACTGCAATGCACCAAGGTGTGAATGGCCCCTCATTGCAATCTCCTTATGCCCAGAACACAATGCATATGGTTTTCCTGTTGCTGTTTTGAATGCTTTAACCTTTTTAAGACTGTTTTACCATGCAAACCTTTACGCTCACAAGGGAGAAAGAGGCTGCTTCTAACATTACAACTGTGTCCTATTGCATGACTTACAGTTCTATTGCATGTGTCTGTCATATGTATTTCCTAAAGAAGTCTATAAAAATGGTTACTTTTTTTTCTTTTTCAAAATCAGGTGTCATGTCCGCACAAATTAATAGTTGATGAATGTGTGTTTAAGGGAAACATTCAATTTTTGTTTTCTTCTTTAAACCTTTTGGCTTAAATAAAATGCCTTTGAAAATTTACTGCTGTGGGCAACTATAAATTATCCTCTTGGTATATTTGTCATACACAAAGCCCCTATATAAGTCCTTCTTTTTAATGCCTTAATCCAGCCACATGGGGCTGCTTGCTATGGAGGAGCACGTGCACACGCGCTCCAGAACCATACTGCATAGACGCGCGCAGTTTCCCTTCTTACAGCATTTGATTGACAGCAGCAGGAACCAATGGCTCCTGCTGCTGCCTGAGCCCCTGTGAGAAGAGGAAGAGTGAAGGGGAGAAAAATGCAGCCAGGCACCACGCTGGATCCCTGACAGGCTTAGGTAAGTGTTTAGAAAGGGGGGGGGGGGGGGGAATAGTTAGTGGGGGTTTTTTGTGTGCGTGTGTGTTTTTTAAGTTTTTTGTTTTTTTTTTTTTTTTTTTTGTTTTTTAACCTTAATGCAGGGAATGTATTAAGGTAAAAAACACCATCACCCAGCCTTTAATGTTGTGGTAATCCATTGTCTATATTTTTGAAAATGGTGGCTTTCAGCAGGCTTCCTCTGATCATAAATGTTAATTTGCCTTTAACAGGTTCAAACCGTTCAGCATGTCTATCCAGCACAGGTGCAGTACGTGGAAGGAGACGCTGTGTACACCAATGGAGCAATGTGAGTCATGTGTATTTTGTTTTAAAAAAAAATATATATATATATATATATATAAAAAAAGCTGATAGAGAGGAGTGAGTTACAAATATGCAGGATGTTTTGTCATGTCTGTACCAATTTTCCAGTTACACTAATGTGTTAGAGTCTTCAAAGTAGTTGTAAAGGGTCAAGGTTTTTTACATTCATGCATTCTATGCATGCAGGTAAAAAACCTTCTTTGTGCAGCATGTTCCCAACCCCCCCCATACTCACCTAAGCCGCCTCTCGATCCAGCAATGTGCACTGGAGTCTCGGATATCCTGGGACTCCCTCTCCTCATTGGCTGAGACAGCAGCGGGAGTCATTGGCTTCCACTGATGTCAATCACAGCCAGTGAGCCAATAAGAAGATAAAGGGGGCAGGGTCGAGCCACGGCTCAGTGTGTGAATGGATACACGGGAGCATCGGCTGGGGAGTGCGCATGCTTGCTGTGAGGGCACCCGACAGTAGTGAGGGGCCAGGAGCACTGTCGGGGGACCCGAGAAAAGGAGGATGCGGGCTGCTTTGTGCAAAACCACTACACACAGCAGGTAAGTATAGACATGTTTGTTAAATGTTTTTTTTTTATTTAGAATCACTTTAAGGCCTCGTTCACACCAGTGTGCAGAGTTTTTTTTTTTTTTTTTTTTTTGCATTCGTTCTGCAAGGGCACAAAGAAACAATTGTTCTCTATGTGCTCTGTCCACACCACAACACTAGTATCAGGCGTGGGATTTCTTGCTTCGTGGAAAATGCAACGTGTATAAAAACTCACTGAAACAAGCATAAAAACTGATTCAAATTCATGTCTCTGCAAGTGAAATCCTACACTTTTTTTTTTCCACCAGTTTTTCTACACGTATGGTGTGAACGAGGCCTAAAAGTAAAGTTCTCCTTTTACAGAAAATAACCTGTGTAGTCAAGGGTCCTCCGTAGATATTAAACTATGAAGCATTGTAAAATGTTAATTAATTTTATTATCATACCTGTAGGGCATTTGGACTCCCTGGAAGCCTGGCTAAAGAACTCCCATTTAGCAGTCGCCACATCTTGCCTTGTTGCTAGGGCACAAGAACCATTGGTGCTGGCTCCTGTACAGCTGGGAATGAGTGTCCAACCATTTTCATGTCCTAGCAATAAGGAATGGCATTGGGATTTCTAATTAGGAGCTTTTTAGCCAGACAGCTGACAATAGTATGACAATAAAATTAAACATTTTACAACGATGCACGGTTGTTTTAATATCTACTGGGGTTCCTTGCCTGCATAGGCTATTTTCTGGAAAAGATTCCCTTTTTTTTTTAATCTTTTAAACAAATTTCTTTAAACTTATTTGAATTGGTTGCCAAAATAGATACTGTTCAAGTGACATGCATGACTATGTAATAAAGCAGGGTGCAGTACTCTGCAGTAACCAATAAGATATTGGGTTACCATTGTATTTTTTGCCTGAATGGATAAGCCATTGAAACAGGTGTTTTCTTTTGTGCATATCTTGTAAATTTAAACTAGCATTTTTTTTTTTTCTACTAATATTTACTTTGGATTTTTTTTTTTTTAACAGCCGGACAACCTATTCCTACAATGCTGAAGCACAGATATATGCTCCCAGTAGTGTTGCCTCATATTTTGATTCCCAGGGTGGAGGTGCTCAAGTGACGACTGTGGTTTCTACTCCCACTGCCATTCCTTCCCACAGTATGGTTGGCATCACCATGGATGTGGGTGGGAGCCAAATCATCTCTAGCTCTGGAGCATACCTGATCCATGGTGGCCTGGACAATTCTCGCCATTCTTTGTCTCATACATCACGTTCTTCTCCTGCCACGGTATGTATAGAACATCTGCACTGGTATTTAGTCTCCGTTATCCACTTTGCTTGTAAATTGTTAAAATTTAAAATGCTAAATGTAACCTGGTGTGAGAAGGGGGGTAAAAATTCCACCAGGTTTTAATTGCTGAAGAAAAATGGCAACGCCAGATTTCAGTTAATTGCTTTACTGATAATCCATAGCAACAAATGTAATGTTTTGGGGACATGATGGTCCCGTTTTTTCAAGGTGACATACAGAATGGTGGTATACTGTATGTCACCTTGACAAAGGGGAACATTATGTCCCCAAAATACTGTGTTGGACTTTTATTTTTTTTTTCTAGTTTCCCGTTCCAGTTATAATTGGTAGCAAGGCAGAAGTGAGGTTGAAATCTCTCCAGCAGGAGCACATACAGCAATAGAAATATTTTATAATTTGCTGTTATTTTCATATCTTCAGTTTCTTCTATCAGTAAGTTTTAGCTACAGTTGCAAGAAAAAGTATGTGAACCCCTTGGGATTACATGGAGTTTAGCATGAATTGGGCATAAAATGTGCTCTGAATGTCATCTAAGTCACAACAATAGAAGAACACAGTCTGCTGAACATAATACTACACAAACATTAGATGTTGCCATGGTTTAATTGCACATAACATGTAAACATTCACAGTGCAGGGAGGAAAAAGTATGTGAAGCCCTAGCTTAATGACTTCTCCCAGAGCTAATTGGAGCCAGGAGTGAGCCAACCTTGACTCCAATCAGTGTGATGATATTGGATGTGTTGCTGACAGCTGTCCTGCCCTTAAAAAACACACACCTGTTTTGGGTTTACTGGTTTCAAGAAGCACTGTCTGATGTGGACCATGCCTCGCAGAAAAGAGCTATCAGAAGACCTACGATCAAGAATTGTTGACTTGCATGAGGCTGGAAAGGGTTACAAAAGTATCTCCAAAAGCCTTGATGTTCATGTGTCCACGGTAAGACAGACTGTCTACCAATGGAGAAAGTTTAGCACTGTTGCTACTCTCCCTAGGCATGGTCGTCCTGTAAAAATGACTGCAAGAGCACAGCGCAGAATGCTGCATGAGGTAAAGAAGAATCCCAGAGTGTCAGCTAAAGACCTACAGAAATCTCTGGCACATGCTAACATTTTTGTTGACACATCTACAATAAGGAAAACATTAAACAAGAATGGAGTACATGGGAGGACACCACGGAGGAAGCCATTGCTGTCCAAAAAGAATATTGCAGCACGTTTGAAGTTTGCAAAAGAGCACCTGGATGTTCCACAGCACTACTGGCAAAATATACTGTGGACGGATGAAACCAAGATTGAGTTGTTTGGGAAGAACACACAACACTATGTGTGGAGAAAAAAAGGCACAGCACACCAACATCAAAACCTCATCCCCACTGTAAAACATGGCGGAGGGAGCATCATGGTTTGGGGCTGCTTTGCTGCCTCAGGGCCTGGATGGATTGTTGTCATTGATGGGAAAATGAATTCCAGAGTGTATCAAGACATTTTGCAGGAAAACGTACGACCATCTGTCCGCCAACTGAAGCTCTGCAGAGGATGGGTGATGCAACAGGACAATGACCCAAAGCATACAAGTAATTCAACAAAACAATGGCTGCAACAGCACAGAATACGCCTTCTGGAGTGGCCCAGTCAGAGTCCTGACCTCAACCCGATTGAAATGCTGTGGCATGACCTAAAGAGAGCGATTCACACCAAACATCCCAAGAATATTGCTACACTGAAAGAGTTTTGTGAAGAGGAGTGGTCCAAAATGACTCCAGATCGTTGTGCAGGTCTGATCTGCAACTACAGGAAACGTTTGGTTGAGGTTATTGCTGCCAAAGGAGGGTCAACCAGTTATTAAGTCCAAAGGTTCACATACTTTTTCCTCCCTGCACTGTGAATGTTTACATGTTATGTGCAATTAAACCATGGCAACATCTAATGTTTGTGTAGTAGTATTATGTTCAGCAGACTGTGTTCTTCTATTGTTGTGACTTAGATGACGTTCAGAGCACATTTTATGCCCAATTCATGCAAAACTCCACGTAATCCAAAGGGGTTCACATACTTTTTCTTGCAACTGTATAGTTGAACTTAACAAATAAAACCCCATCACGCTTCTAAACATGTCAGTGTAACGGAGGACACCTCTCAACCGCCTCGATGCTCGTTAAGGTCCTTCCTTCGTTATGCTGACACTTCTGGATTGGTGACATTTGACGCCCTCTCTCAATACTCTGAGTACCAGCAAGGAATCCTCTTATACCCCTGGCTCTGAGCGACGCTGTATGCTTCCCATCACACTTCTGCTTAAATTCTAATGTACCCTGCATGAACCTGCAACTGACTGCTCTCATCACTGGCTAGTTTTTTTGCTGTATGTATAGAAGAATATGCGTGAATATCATAAACATGACAACAGTCCTGGAATTTTTAACACAAATGAGATTTCATATATTGGGTTGGTGCGAACTTGTCTATGCAGTACATGAAATGGGGTATGGTCTTTTATTTTTCTCATAAATTTTTTAAACATTTACAAATGTTGATGTCCTAAAATAGATATAAATAATTGGTTAAAATGTCTATCCAGTCTATTCATCATCTCAATGGAACCTCCAGAACTGAGAAGCAGTGGATTTTAATACTTTCTTTGTTTTTTCCGTTCACTTCAAGCCCATTGTAGAGACCTTTGACCCAACTGCAACTTGTAAATAATTGGCCAATGAAAACTGCTTTCTGTTTTAGTAGATGTTGGTACAGGAAATATTTATTATTATTGTAGAAATTAGGGAAGATTTAGAACCTCTGTCAAGTGTTTTCTATTGAAAGATTTAATCTCTTGTTGTCTGAAGTGAAAGAGGTATTCCCAAAGGGAACATAAATAAAACTCAAAATGTTGCTAACTCTTCCCCTGGTATATACAAAATGGGGAAAAAATTGGGCTGGATTTGGATCATGTATTGATTTCTTAGGTTTCTCTAGCAGTGGTACAGCGATTCCACTCTTAATTCTGTATGTTACTTTTGTTGTACATGAAACATACAGCAGGAATTTTGGAACTGCCTTTTGGCTCCCCTGTTGTAGTAGGAGGCAAGAGACTCCAAGGTGGATGAAAAAGCGATCTACTGGAGTTTGCAAGAGCTATCAGATAAAAGCTTGTGATTGCCTTCTATCTACACTTTTTTTTTTTGCAAAAGATTACTTCTTTCACAAACTCTGACCATATACAAACTGCTTATTCAGCTTCACTGAAAATGTTAATAAGAATTTGATCTAAATTGTATCAGTTACCCTATTTCATTGAACCCTGTTGTGTATAGAGGTGTAAAGAAATAACACTAGAATATTATGTTTTACAACAAAACAAAACCGGATTGCAGGATTTGTTATTTTATGTGGTGTATTTTTTTTTTTTTGTCTGGAAATTCCTTTTAGGCTACATTCACACTGCTCCCTTGCAAAAAAAAAAAGAAAAGTAGTAAACAGATTTTTCCGCATTTCTGATGCATTTTGACTCAAAAACACAACTGCAGCTGAGTTTTTTTATGTGTTTTCCAATCATTGCAATGGGGAGGCATGCACACCAAAAAATGCAGCAAGCAGGACATTGAAAAATGCAATGGACCTGCAACTGACAAGTGTGAAGAGTTTGATTTAAGGATTTGAGGATTTAATAGTTGTTTTTTTTCTTTCGTTTTTTTTTTTTTTTTTTTTTTTAAAAGGCAAAAACGGAAGAGAATCAGATCAGTGTGAAAGCAGCCTTATGCAGGCCATAGGCGGTTTGTTTATCGGCTGATTTTTCGTCCAAAAAACGAAACATCATTCGTTCTGTTAACCGATGTTGCCACCAATGATTGCGAAAATCGTCCGGTTTTTCACAAATTTTCCAGCATGACCGATAAGAGAAATTAGGAGGAACCGCGAAAATCAGCCGATGCCATTGCCCCACTAACAGTGTGAAAATCGACCGATTATTCTTTCGGACAAAACATCGGCCGATAAACGAACCATCTATGGCCTGCATTACACTTAGGTGCTACCAGCCAGATTTGGTCCTTGGTGATTACAAAAAATTCTTAGAATAGTGGTCTTAGTTGGTGTTTAACTGGACATTAAAATTGAACAATAATTTTACGTTTTGGACTATTCAATCTGAAAATTTTGTTTCTTGTGTTGCCACAATTATTTACGTAAAGCAAAAGTATCTTTATAAGTGAACCGTTCCCTTTACAAGAATTCTAAGTACTAGAATCTAATTTGATATTTAATAGTTTGTCTCCTTGTAACGTATTGTGTGTGTATCATGCATCTCCCTGCTTCTTCTACTATAATCATACTTAGATTCTTCTAAATCTTTTGGCGCATGTTGCAGAGCCAACAAAGCTTTCAACACAAGTTCACCTTTCCAGATGCACATAATCAGGGCTCTTTGTCTGACATTTCCTCTGTTTTTTGCATGCTCTCTCTGTAGCTTGAAATGGCGATTGAAAATCTACAAAAAAATGAAGGCATCACCTCTCACAAAAGCAGCTTGCTCAACAGCCATGTAAGTTCACTTCTAACTTGAGTCTGCTCGCAAAGTCCTCTGCTTGTGTTAGGAGCTTTGAGTGTGCATGTTCATAACCCTATGATGAATGGGACGTGTGTCCTTTTCAGCCTAACAGTCAGACTACACCGTTATAGGAAATACGTTATCTCTTTAATTTTTAAATTTATTATTTTATTGTTTTAAATAAATGCAAGTATAGTGTGTAGGTATAATTAGTACTGTATAATCAGCTGTGTAGATAAATGCAGGCAGTTATTTTTTTCTGGTCCCAACATTAAAACTGATCTCTGCAAGCTGTAAGAGCTAATGTGCATGCTGATCTTGGTTGTTATAAAAGCAAGCCCAAACAGACAGCTAATCAGTGGGTCAGATTTGCCTTTTTTTTTTTTTTTTTGCCAACGGGGAAAATCCTCAATCCCTTACATAAGATTGGAAAATATAGAATTAAAAAGGTTTAGTTTTTTTGTGTGAGGGTTCAGATCCCCATCTCTATTGTATGCAAATTTTCTGCAAGCACTCTGTTCATAGAAGGTATGAAAGTTTTGCTGAGCACTAAGTTATGATTTAAAACGTGAGTTTGTTGCCCGATTTCCACAGTGTTATTTTCAGCATAGTTTGCTGCTGACTAATAAAACCAGATCCTAATATCAGTCTTCACCCATCAGTATGCATTGTCTTGCTGAAATCTGTTTTACTATGGGTGATACCTAGCCAGTGGATGTGTAAAGATATCATTTAGAAATAGTCTGTTGGCTTTCTAAAATGTCATTTTCATCTTGATTAGTTAGTCAGTAACTTAAAGTGATTGTAAAGGATATTTTTTTTTTGTTTAAATAACAAACGTGTCATAGTTCCCTGCTTTGTGCAATGGTTTTGCAGAGAACAGTCCCAACCCTCTTCTTCCCAGGTACCCTGCTGGCGCTGCTGGCCCCTCTTCCTCCTCACCGGTGCCCCCCATAGCAAGCTGCTGGCTTTGGGGGCACTTGTGCATACTTGCTCCTGAGCCAGCTCTGTGTGTCCATAAGAGTGTCGCAGGGCCCCCCTCCTTCCTCAATAGCTGTGATTGATAGCTCCCACTGCTGTCTGAGCCAATGAGGAGGGAGAGAGCCTCTTGGATCGGGATCAGGTTTGGTTGCTATAAAGCCTCTTAGACATTGCTGATACCTACCTTGTGCAGCAGGAATGTTTAAACCATGACAGTCATGCTAATAATCACTTATGTACACTGCTCAAAAAAATTAAAGGAACACTTTGAAAACACATCAGATCTCAGTGGGGAAAAATATGCTGAATATCTATACTGATATGTACTGGATAATATGTTAGGAACGTAAAGATACTCATAATTTGATGGAAAATAAAATTATCATCCTGCAGAGGACTGAATTCAAAGACACCCTGAAAATCAAGGTGAAAAAATGATGCAGCAGGCTAGTCCATTTTTCTCACATTTCATTGCAGCAACTCAAAATGGTACTCAGTAGTTTGTATGGCCCCCATGTGCTTGTATGCATGCCTGACAACATTGAGGCATGCTCCTAATGAGACGACAAATGGTGTCCTGGGCTATTTCCTCCCAGGTCTGGACCAGGGCATCACTGAGCTCCTGGATAGTCTGAGGTGCAACCTGGCGGTGTCAGACTGAAACATGATATCCCAGAGGTGTTCTATTGGATTTAGGTCAGGCAAGCGTGGGGGCCATTCAATGGTATAAATTCCTTCATCCTTCAGGAACTGCCTGCATGCTCTCGCCACATGAGGCTGGGCATTGTTGTGCACCAGGAGGAACCCAGGATCCACTGCACCAGCGTAGAGTCTGACAGTGGATCCAAGGATTTCATCCCAATACCTAATGGCAGTCAGGGTGCCATTGTCTAGCCTGTAGAGGTCGTTGCTTCCCTCCATGGATATGCTTCCCCAGACCATCACTGACCCACCACCAAAACGGTCACATTGAATGGTGTTACAAGCAGCATAACGTTCTCCACGGCTTCTCCACACCCTTTCATGTCTGTCACATGTGCTCCGGGTGAACCTGCTCTCATCTGTAAAAGGCACAGGGCGCCAGTGGCAGACCAGCCAATTCTGGTGTTCAATAGCAAATGCCAATCGAGCTCTATGGTGCCGGGCAGTGCGCACAGGGCCCACTAGAGGACATCTGGCCCTCAGGCTACGCACATGAAGTCTGTTTCTGATTGTTTGGTTAAAGACATTCACAACAGTGACCGGCTGGAGGTCATTTTGTAGGACTCTGGCAGTGCTCATCCTGTTGCTCCCTGCACAAAGGAGCATATATCAGTCCTGCTGATGAGTTAAGGACACTCTGCGTTCCTGTCCAGCTCTGCTTGTCTCCTGGAATCTCCTCAATGCTCTTAAGACTGTGCTGGGAGACATAGCAAACCTTCTGACAATGGCACGTATTGATGTGCCATCCTGGAGGAGTTTGACTTCCTGTGCAACCTCTGTAGGGTCCAGGTATCGCCTCATGCTACCAGTAGTGACATTGACCCTAGCCAAATGCAAAACTAGTGAAAAACAGTCAGAAAAGCAAAGTAAGGAAAAAATGTCAGTGGCCTCCACCTGTAAAACCATTCCTGTTTTGGGGATCGTCTTATTGTTTCCCATCTAGTGCACTTGTTGTTAATTTCATTAACACCAAAGCAGCTGAAACTGATTAACAACCCCCTCTGCTACTTAACTGACCAGATCAATATCCCAGGAGATTAACTGACTTGATGCTATACTCTGATTAAAAAGTGTTCCTTTAATTTTTTTTTTTTTTTTTCTGGGAGGATTTTTAGCAAATGCAGGTGCCTGCAGGTAATAGAATACAGAGCATTACACCTGAATAATGTGTTTAATGCTGTATCCCTTCAACCCAAAAAACTAAACTTCTGCTTTAAGTGGAACTAAACCATCCTATTCTTTACAGCTAAGAAAGTTGCCATTTTAGGCTTTGTTTTCATCTGCACTTGCCATGGTTCTGCACATGTGATCCGTTATGACAAATGCCATTTGATGGCTTTAGAGTTTGGTTGAGAGCACAAGCACACATGGCAGTTATCATTAACGGCATGCCTTGAATGTAACCATTTCTGGAAACCATTAATTCGACTGGTTTAGTTTTGCTGTGTTACTGCAAATCCGTGATTTGAGACAATGGTCTATGTTGGTAAGGATACAGATTTGTTGTGTGATACAAGCCTATCACTTTTTCTGTTTATTTAATTTTCTGCCTATTCTTTCTTCAGCTTCAGTGGCTGTTGGATAACTATGAAACAGCAGACGGTGTTAGCCTTCCCAGAAGTTCATTGTACAACCATTACTTACGGCATTGCCAGGAGCACAAGCTGGATCCAGTTAATGCAGCTTCATTTGGTAAACTAATACGCTCGGTGTTTATGGGACTGCGGACAAGACGTCTTGGCACCAGGTTAGCATATTGTAACTGGATAAGAGGAGCTTTGCACCTTTCCCCAGTGCTGATATATACCACTTTGTGGTGAATTGTAAGTAATTCATTTCTGTATGGGCAAAATGTACGGAGGCTGACTTTTTTGTTTATGTTCTATTTGAAATTCTGTTTCTCCAGGTCACTCGATGTAAATTTTGCTGTTGTTCTGGAAGAAAATAAATTGGAGGGTTAGCAATGCCAGCTCTCCTATTTCTTACACTACAGGTGTGCTGGTAAAGTGGGCTTATCTGTTGGCTGGATTTGTACTGCTTTTGATTAAAGTTTATGGTCTAGGGCAGGGGTCTCCAAACTTTCTAAACAAAGGACCAGATTACTGCCATTCAGACTTTGGGGGGGGGGGGGGGGGGGGGGGGGTGGCGAACTGTAGCCAGTGGGAGTAGAAAATGTCCTGAGTTACAGGAATTAAAAAATGCCTCAGGCTTGGTTGTCAGTGGGAATAAGAAAATTTCATAATGCCTGTGGTCAGTAAGAGGGGTAATAGTGCCTCATTATTGGTATTGTTGGGAGGAATAGTGCCCCAGCATTGGTGTCAGTGGTTGGAGTAGTACCCCATCACTAGTGTCAATGGGAAGAATAGTGTCCCATGGTTTGGGTCAGTAGAAGAAATGGTGCCCCATCATTGAGGTTAATGGAGGAAATGGTGCCTCATAATTGTTGTCAGTGGAAGAAATAGTGCCTGTATCAGTGTGAGGAATGGTGCCCCAAGGGCTGGATAAAGGCAAGCAGAGGGTCGATCTGTCCTGCAGACTGCAGTTTGGAGATCACTGGTCTAAGGTAAACAATCCTGCTAGCAAAGAAGTTAATATTTTAGTTAGCTGTGTACTATAGGCTAATCCATGGTGTGGATGATTTTGACACACCAACAATTTGTTTAGTGGATAAACACTCACCGGCCTATTTATTATGTACACCTTGCTTGTTCTGGGTTGGACCCCCTTTTGCCTTCAGAAATGCCTTCATTCTTCATGGCATAGATTCAACAAGGTGTTGGAAACATTCCTCAGAGATTTTGGTCCATATTGACATGATTGCATCATGCAGTTGCTGCAGATTTATCAGCTGTGCATGATGCAAAGCTCCCGTTCCACCACATCCCAAAGGTTCTCTATTGGATTGAGATCTGGTGACCATTGGAGAACTCATTGTCCTGTTCAGGAAACCAGTTTGAGATTATTTGAGCTTTGGGACATGGTGCATTATCCTGCTTAAAGTAGCTATCAGAAGATGGGCACACTGTTGTCATAAAGGGATAGACATAGTCAGCAACCTGAACTGTTGATACAAGGCAGGATGGATCCATGCTTTCATGTTGTTTATGCCAAACTCAGACCCTGCCATCTGAATGTCGCAGTCAAAATCGAGACTCCTCAGACCAGGCAACTTTTTTCCAATTTTCTATTGTCCAATTTTGGTGAACCTGTGAGAATGGTAGCCTCCATTTCCTGTTCTTAGCTGACAGGAGTGACACTCGGTATGGTCTTTTGCTGCTGTTGCCCATCTGCTTCAAGGTTCGGCGTGTTGTGTGTTCAGAGATGGTATTCTGCATACCTTGGTTGTAACGAGTGGTTATTTGAGTTACTGTTGCCTTTCTATCATCTCGAACCAGTCTGCCCATTCTCCTCTGACATCAACCAGGCATTTTCGTCCACACACTGGAAAATATCTCTTTTTCTAATCATTCTCTGCAAACCTTAGAGATGGTTGTGTGTGAAAATCCCAGTAGATCCACAGTTTTTGAAATATTCAGACCAGCCCATCTGGTACCAAAAACCATGCCACATTCCAAGTCACTTAAATCTCCTTTCCCATTCTGATGCTTGGTTTGAACTTCAGCAAGTTGTCTTCACCACGTCTAGATGCTTAAATGCATTTAGTTGCTGCCATGTGATTGGCTGATTTAGAAATTGGTGTTACAAAGCAATTGAACAGGTGTACCTAATAAACACCGGTGAGTGTACAATGTCCAGCCATCATTTTCTAAAACCAATGGAAGATGCAATGCATTGCAGAGCCTTAGCACACGAGACACTGATGGCATTTGAATCTGTTTGGTATATGTAGCATTGATTTTATTGTTTGATAACGAGGTTGGAAGATCAGTTACATAGATTATTGTTCTTCACTCAGGAGAAGAGGCGTATAACAGTAGGTATAATTACAGTGTACAAATATATAAAATGACGCCAGTAACTGTAATAAACGGTTTACTAAAAGCTTTTGTTTTCTCTTCTCACAATGAAACGCTAGTAAATTAAACTCCATGAGTCTACCTGCTCAAAGGCAGATGGGCTGTTCACTTTACAAACGAAGCTGCACTTGCAAGGGATTTTTCCCCAGAGCTTAGAAAATGTGATGGAATTTTACTTTGCAAAGCATACCCAATCACATGCAAGGAGTAGCATAAAAAAACGCATATTTGTTTGTACGTGATTGAATGATGGAAAGCAGCAGAAGTTTAAGTTATTAACTAAGCTTATGCTTGGGGAAATTCCCTTGCGAAGTGCAACATCCCTTTTGCCTTTGTTGTTGCCGTAGCTATTACTTGCAGCATTCTTACTACTCCCAAAAATTTGAATACATCAACAAAACTTTTAAGGAAAAAGCATGTAAAATGTAAAAATCAAATACAAAATTGCATAAATGATGTACTCGCTGAAATCGCATTGTATTTTTCCTTTAACCTCAAATTGCTGTCATGTTACATCTATTTATTAACCTAAACAATTTTCTTATTTTGTGTGACAGGGGTAACTCTAAATACCACTATTATGGCATCCGGTTGAAACCTGATTCCCCACTTAACAGACTTCAAGAAGATATGCAGTATATGGCAATGAGACAGCAGCCAATCCATCAGAAACAAAGGTTTGCAAGCGCTTTGGTGTTAACTGTTCAGAAATAAAGTTTTTATTGTTGAAATACAGCTTTTCTAATAGAGGCTGTGTGTATATTTTTTGGAACTTTTATAGATAGAATGCCCAAATTATTTCTCATTAATCTCTCGGCTAGAATGGTCAGGGTGTTTCATGGCTATACTTTCTCTAAGGCCTCATTCACACTGTGCAATGAACACACACTGGTAATTCCATTGTTAGGATCTGTGGATACATGCAGCTAGAATGAGAGGTGTGTGCAAAAGAGCTATGGTTATGGACAGATAGACATGGCTGGATGCAGGCTGACTTTGTCCGGCCGTGATCATCTGTCCCTAACAGTAGGTAATCTCTGGATTTGCAGACAGTCGTAGATAGATTCAGCCACCATCAGCCTGTCATTGCATTGTATACGTAGCTCTTTGCATACATGTGTCATTCCAGCTGTGGGAATCCACAGATTTTTGCCACTGAGTTTCAGTGTGTGCTAATTGCACACTTGACAAAACCACACCTTTTTGTATTTGATTGCTTTAGACTTCTCCCATATAAGTAGGATTTTTTTTTCTTATGCTGGAGCCCAATATTTGTGCCACAGTGCCAGGATCAGAAATCTACTTGAAAACCGTGGATTTCCGAGCAGGCAGCTGTTCAATTATATAAAGTGAGATTTTATTGTTTTGCAAAGGTGATAAACCTTTGTGATGGAGTTTTGCTACTTGGGTTATAAATAAAAAAAAATAAATAGCTTATCTGTTTACAATCCTCAGATACAGACCTACACACAAGACAGATGGCATGATGGATAGCTCGATCAGCAGCCAGCACACCTCTCCAGAGCAGTCCGTTGCTGCTCAGAGCCAGCACCACCAGCAATTCATAGGTAGCGTGCACATATGCAAGTGTGGACCCTTGACTAAATATAAATGGTAGATGAATGAGGAAAAATACACTAATATTTACATCATTTTATTTCCTTATTTTGTATTACATTTGTATAGATACCTCCCATGTGTTCCCAGACTTTCCTGATCCAGATCTGGGTGGTGTGATGCTACCCGATGGCATTACTATGTCTGATGTAAAGAATTTGCAGCTTATGTACCGAAGACACTGTGAAGTGAGTAACACAGTCCTATTCATTGCATACTTAGATCTATGGTATAATTTATCAGCTGTTTCTTAAACTGAGTCCTGCTGGATCCATATTGGTTTGCGAATGTGTTTTATTAGGTCACCATTTGACTGTGCAGTCAAGTGAGAAATCAGTGGCAAGTGATATATCACACTGACTGATAGCACAGACACACATAGGGGAACTAACTAGAAGGTTGGGGGGGGGGGGGGGTTTAAATACATCAGGTGTGAGCTCTGCTATACAGGGACGCAAGGGGCACATACATAGTCAGATTCACTGCTTGAAGGACTATACTTGGATAGAAACCAATACAAGTCTTTTTAAATGTTTTTTGTATTAACAGTCATCCTCATTTTTTCTTTGCATGGCTTGATGACATTTTGGTAATGATTCTCTTCTTGGGTCCCAGTACAGTAACTTGGCTTGCAAATCCATGAACCTAGCATTTGTGTCTGTATAGAGTGTTTGATGGTCAGATTGTTTACCTATCAAAGCCTAGTCTTGTATCTGTGGCTAACTTCTGGATTATGAATAGTTTATTACTGTACTTTGAAAATCTACCGTATCTTACGATTTGGGCAGTTGTAAATCACTTCTACGCTATGGGAAATGTACTTCCGAGTTCAGAGCTCAAAAAACGACAGTTGCTATGACCAGGGAGGAAGTTTAAGTACAGTCTATGCTAAATCGGCTTCATCAGGGTGAGAGGTGACATTAAGGATGATGTCTCCTTAGAGAACCTTTCATGTGTCCACTATGCTATCACATATGGGGTGTATCACCCCCCCCCCCCCCCTTGTGATGGCAATAAAGCTGACTAAAGAAAGTTTTTAAAAAGTTAAAATAAAAATACAACACCCGAAAAAGGTTAAAATCCTGCACTGGTGCATACATGACTTTATGAACACAAATATATAAAAATGACAGTTGTGTACCACTGCACACACAAGTGAAAGCATTAATTGCAGGGCCATAATTCACTGTTAACTTGAAATTGAGTTGTGAAGGCCTTTTAAATAGTTGCCTATGGACAATTTTGAGTACCATGGTTTTTAGCCATATGATGGGGTCTATGCAATTTTGAGGTTTTACATATTTGGTATCCATTAACCCAGTGCAACCTCATCTTTTTATATTTGTTTAAATTGTGTATTGTATTTTTAGATTAGTATTTACTGTAAATATAGATTAGATAAACAGTAGCACAATTGTCATGTGACAATGGCAACTTCAACTATTTTATGCCACATGGTCAGAAGTTTTTTGGTGGGTTTTAGGTACTCTTCAGATCTAAAATGTGGATTTAAATGTGTGCAAAAAATTGGAAGAAGAAATCGCTCAAGCAGTAAAAGGTTTAAATACTTTTGACAGTATTAGGGGAAATATGTTCTCAGTAGTCCTTACCATTACACCACCTTAAAGGTAGCTTTAGTCAGTAAAATGATTTTCTCCTACAGGTATTGTCCTCCAGACAATTGTGTGTGCAAATCAAAGCAGGAGGTAAAAATAATTAGGGTATTTATTCTGTTATCCAGGAAACAGTGACACTACCTTATATTTTGTTAAACTTACAGGCAACTGTAGATGTGGTGATGAATCTGCAGTTCCAATATATTGAAAAATTGTGGCTGGCTTTCTGGAACTCTAAACCGTCTTCTCCGGATGGCTCAGCAGCATTGTCTAGGTGAGAGAGACGCTTCAAATGATTATCAGCAGAATAGCATTTTTGTTAAAGTGTTTTTTTTTGTTTTGTTGTGTGTTAGATGTAGAGATTTACCCCCCTATCCTGTTATGATGACTCGTGCCACTGGGGCTGAAAGGGAGAGGAAATCTCTCAAAACAAATCACACAAATGATACATCTGTATTAACACAAAAAGCACCACAGACAGACAATGATATATAGTATCCTACACCCTTAAAATCAAGCATAAGCAATAGTCTGCACTCAGTTTCTTAATATTGACTATCAAAAATGGTGCAACCCCCTCCAACAGTAAGCCCTACAGCAATCTTTAGCATTCACCTTTATCATCCTGCATGCTAAAAATGTTTATATCTATCTATCTATATATCTATCTATATATCTATCTATCCATCTATCAGTAATATAGGTGGAGTGCACAACGATGATCAATCACAGTGCATAGCAATCGGGCCCTTCCAAAGGCCATATATGGAAAAAAAGAAAATTGGATTGCTGCACATAAAAAAAAAAAAAAAATTATTCTTGAAAAATCACCATACAAAAGGGTGATCCGAAAGAATGGTCAAAGCCATACATCATAGTGTTCAACAAACAGTTTCGGTGTATTATGTTAACTCCCTTCTTCAGATCAGAACACATATTGAAATACAAAATGCTACTTAGATCAATATATACATACATCATAATAGGAATCAATTATATAATTAACCACAAATTGAATGCACATCAGATGAACATCTTCTAATAAAGGTGGTGGTTTAAGAGTGAAAATTCTGTCAGGAAGAAACGTCCCCATATTAAAGATGTGGAATGTAGACATAAATACCCATTATAAAAATCACATATCTATTTTAAGGAAAAAACAGAAAGAAATGAAAAAAGTACATATGCACACGCACACATACGAAAGCCAAAAAAAAATAATAAACCACAAGAATTCTTTTAAAGAAATAAATACAGATCAAAATCCAAATTTAACCCTTTAGGGGTTAATGTATCCAAATGATGGATCCATTGAACCGCCCGTTGTCTAAGTTGCAATTCTCTGTTACCTCCACATTTATGTCTAGGAATTCCATCAATGACCATAAATCTAAGTTGAGAAACCGGATGCCTTTTCTACAAAATGTGTCACTAGCGGTAATATGTCTATGAGCACAACTGAAATTTCTTTTTTGGATACTCTTTTGAGAACATGTAATGAACATATTGTTAGTGATTTTATACATCAAGCCTACAGATCGTAACCAGTTGTTGTTTTTTAATTTTCATCCCCCTGGGGTTTTTAAATCTATACCCCGTAGCCAATTAACTCGTATTTCTAGGATTGTCAGTGACCCACAGGTTAGGGAGATTAGACTCAACAAGATGGAAGGCAGGCTCTGTGTACGGGGTTATCCCACTGATACAATTAAAAAAGAAAGGGATACCTTGTCTCAACAGAAAAATAGATGGTTTAATTCCCACAGACTGCCTTTCATCTCTCAGTTTCATCCCTACTCAAATCTGGTTTTAAATATAATTAAAAAAACATTGGTCAATTTTGAGTACTAATTATCCCCCTATACCAGAATTTAATCTTCCTCCATTACCACCTTATCGCCGGGGAAGGACATTACATAATAGGTTAGTAGGATCAGATCAATATAATCCACCTTTATTTCTTTTAACCTTTTTGGGTCCTCGTAACTTTGGCTCTTATCCGTGCCTCAGTTGTATACAATGTAACAATATGATAAGGTGAAAATCTTTCTCTCCTCATTTAGGTTACAAGATGAAATCGAACACTATACCTGTCAGTCATCATTTGTGGTTTATATGATAAAATGTCCATGTGGTTTGTTATATATTAGCAAGACTACCCAAAAGGTAAAGGAAAGAATAGCTAGACATAAATAGCCTATTAGAGATAAACTCACTAAGTTACCCGCTAGCGAGACCTTTTGTAGACAAGGGTCATACGGTTTTCTCAACTTAGATTTATGGCCATTGATGGAATTCCTAGAAATAGACTTTGGGGTAACAGAGTATTGCAACTTAGACAAAGGGAGGTTCAATGGATCCATCGTTTGGATACTTTAACCCCTAAAGGGTTAAATTCGGATTTTGATCTGTATTTATTTCTTTAAAATAATTATTTTGTGGTTTATTATTTTTTACTTTTTGGCGTGTGTGTACATATGTACTTTTTTCATTTCTTCCTGTTTTTTCTTTAACCGCCTCCCGCCCGCCATATAGTACAATGACGGGAGCAAGGCGGTTCTCTCGTTCTGGGAGGATGTCATATGACGTCCTCCCATCCTCACCGTTCATGCGCGGCTCCGGGAGCGCGTGGCGATCGGTGGTGCGCTGTGTCCCTAGGACACAGCGGATCACCGTTCAACGGAAAGAGCCGAATATGTCGGCTCGGTCATGTGATCAGCTGTGTCCAATCACAGCTGATCGCATGTAAATAGGTAAATGCCGGTTATCGGCATTTCTCTCCTCACGAGCTGTCCCGCTGACAGCTCGAGAGGAGAGGGGGAGCTGGTAATCGGCATCCCTCAGAGGGGACATGTACACTGATCATCAGGGCACTGATGATCAGTGTGCCCTGAGGATCTGTGTAGCCCCAGCAGTGCCACCTATCAGTGTCCATCAGTGCCAGCTGTCAGTGCTCATCCATTCCACCTGCCAGTGCCCATCAGTGCCACATCATTGCCACATATCAGTGCCTACCAGTGCACATCAATGCCACATATCAGTGCACATCTGAGCTGCCTTTCAGTTTCACCCATCAATGCCAGTCAGTGCTGCCAATCAGTGCCGCCTATCAGTGCCCGTCAGTGCCGCCTATCAGTGCCATATGAGTGCTGCCTTTCAGTGCCCATCAGTGATGCCTGTCAATGCCCATCAGTGCCACTTATCAGTGTCCATCAGTGCAGCCTATCAGTGCCCATCACTGCAGCCTCATTAGCGCACATCAGTGAAGGAGAAAAATCACTTATTTACAAAATTTTATAAGTAAAACTAAAAAAAAAAGTTTTTTTTTTTTTTTTTCACAATTTTCAGTGGTTTTTGGTTTGTTTAAGAAAAAATGAAAAACCCAGAGGTGATTAAATACCACCAAAATAAAGCTCTATCTGTCACAAAAAAATGATAAAAATTTCATATGGGTACAGTGTTGCATGACCGCAGAATTGTCATTCAAAGTGCAACAGCGCTGAAAGCTGGAAATTGGTCTGGGCAAGAAGGGGGTATAAGTGCCCTGTAGGCTAGTGGTTAATATATATATATATATATATATATATATATATATATATATATATATATATTATATATATATATATATATTATATATATATATATATATATATATATTATATATATATATGTGCTTTTTTTATAATGGGTATTTATGTCTTATGTCACATCTTTAATATGGGGACGTTTCTTCCTGACAGAATTTCTACTTTTCAACCACCACTTTTATTAGAAGATGTTCATCTGATGTGCATTCAATTTGTGGTTAATTATATAATTGATTCCAATTATGATGTATGTATATATTGATCTAAGTAGGATTTTGTATTTCAATATGTGTTCTGATCTGAAGAAGGGCATTAACAGAATAGCCCAAAACTGTTTGTTGAACACTATGATGTATGGCTTTGTCCATTCTTTTGGATCACCCTTTTGTATGGTGATTTTTCATAGCTCGATTTAATCCTAGTTTGAATTTTCCTTTAACCAGTTTTTATTGATGGCTGTTTCCTCTGTGTCCCGCAATGTACTTAAAATTAAATTTTTTTATACTGATCGTAAAATCTTTCTCTTCTTTTTCATACCCTCGTATATGGATTTTTCTTTAGCATATCCAGGGGCGGACTGACAACTCATGGGGCCCCCGGGCAATAGGGGATCATGGGGCCCCTGTGTCCTTGCCCAAACTCAAAAAAAGCCTATGAAAAAGGTACCAGGGGCATATCATGGGGCCCCCTACTGACCCTGGGCCCTCGGGCAGTGCCCGAGTTTCCAAATGGTCAGTCCGCCCCTGAGCATATCATGCTAAAAAACAATCTGATGCCAGGGAAGCATCTTCTGGCACTTTCGATTAAGTGGTGCACTGAAATGAAAATTCTGGATCGAAACCGAAAATTCAGGATGCACTTGGTCGAAAACTGAAATGGACAGTTTTTTTAAAAAATATATATTTTTTTGTATATAATTGTGTTCTATTTGACTTTAATAAAGTGTCATGACTTTAAATCAATATGAATTTTAAAAATTCAATCCATTAACATAAATAACTTTTTTATTGAGCGCAACACACAAGTTGGACAGAAAATGAAATGTATAACAAAACCTTCCTTTTTTTTTTTTCCCCTTTCTTTCTGTGGCAAAACCCCGATTTTAACCCTCTTTTTGTTTTCCTTTCTTTCTATTGGCAAAACGCTGATAACCCTCTTTTGGCTGATAATTTTCGGTGGCCAATATATTTGTGCATCACTATCAATGTTTTTCCCGAAAAATCATTAAGCATTTTACAGAATTTTGCAGTAAAGCATTGGTCAGAAGTTGGGCAACAGCCGGTTACAAGAACATCAATTAATGGTTTTTAATTAGCCAAGTTTGGTTGCTTTTTGCCTGCAAAATGTTATTTCAATAGCTCAATGAGATGCATTGTTATCTTGGTTTTGCTGCTGGTTATTGGAGACCTAACAGATCGCACTGAAAGTTTCTGACTAATACTTATGTCTTATAACACAGCGAGGAGGAGCAGGAAGCAGTCATCCCGAAGGAGAAACTAATGGTTCTGTGTAAATATGAGCCTGTTATGAGGTGGATGAGGGGCTGTGACCACATTCTTTATCAAGCTCTAGTGGAAATTCTAATTCCAGATGTCTTGCGGCCTGTACCAAGTGAGTACAAAGCAAAGATGGACATATTTGAAATGTATATAGCAATTTTTATAGAATAAAGTATTTCAACTTCAATACACACAAGAGAAAGGGAATGAAAGGGGTGTACATGGAGAAACAAGGTCTCAGCCTTATAGGGGCCAAATACAGTGTAAAGTACCATTTTTATAAGCAATTACTAAGTGACATTTAGTCATGGGTAGGCAGATGGGTATTGTGGCCACAGATCTTGATGGGGTTGAAGAGCCAACTGCATCTGCCTTAAGTGAGTAGGGAAATTTAAGAAATGTTTCCAGCAATTTGGTTGATTTTTGATTTGTCACAAATTCTTCTTCTCTCAAAGCATTTACAATAAATAGTGTAAGTGTATTAAAAATGGTAGGGGGAAAGGGAAATTGGAAATGTTGACTGAGATTATCACAAAAAAAAGTTGAGTCCGCTTGCTGGTAAATTTTACTTTAAAAATAGTCTAAAACAATTAAAAATTGCACATCCTTTTTCAAAAACCATGCAGCAATTATGAAGACTGTACTCGGTCTCTTTAATACTGGGTTAAAGAAAATCTCTCTCAAAGGCCCTTGATGCAAACAGTTGTTCTTAACCCCCCCATGCTGCATACTTGCTGCAGAGTAAGGGCTTGTTCACACTTGACTAATTTCTAAGGCCTTCAAAACGCCTCTATAGTGTCAAGCAGGTGTTAATGAGCTTTAAAATATGGGAGTTCTGCGAGCATTAGAAAAGCTATGCGTGGTTATGAGGCGTTTTATAGGCATTTTACAAGCATTACAACCACCGATAATAAACGTAATGGTATTAACGCCTCGCAAATGCCTGCCAGACATTTGAGGAGCATCACCATAGACTTGAATGGGAGGCATTGAAAGGCTTCAACTCCTCCTGACTGGACATGAGGTTTCAATTTTGACGCATCATGTTTTGCTAATGTGAACAGCACTGTGTGCTGCCCATAGTGTTTATTTATTTCAGGTACTTAGATAGCGCCGTCAATTTACGCAGCGCTTTACATATATATTGTACATTCACATCAGTCCCTAACCCTCAAGGGGTGTACAATCTAAGTTAGTATCATTTCCATAGGCATAAAATTGCCCTAATATGTGTAGGTATGAATGTAAGTTAGGGACCTTAGATTGTATGCTCCTTGAGGGTTGGGGACTGATGTGAATGTACAATATATATGTGTAAAGCGCTGTGTAAATTGACAATGCTATATAAGTACATGAAATAAATAAATACATTTGAGGAGCGTTAAAAAATGCCTGTAAACGCCTGCTTACAAAGCTAGTGCGAACTGAGCCTAAATGTCTTCTAATACAGGTGTTCTGGCAGTTTCCTCCAAAATATAGGAGTTGAGTTACTAAAACTGGAAAGTGCAAATTATGGTGCATCTGTGCATGGTAGCCAATCGGTTTCTAACCTCAGCTTGTTCAATTAAGCGTAGACAGAAAAACTGGAAGCTGATTGGTTTCTATGCAGAGCTGCAGCAGACTTTGCACTCTCCAGTATTCGTAAATCATTCCCCTAGAGTCCTTGTTTAAAATTAAACATCATGGATGTGGATTGCATTATTTTAAGTTTGCCCAGACATATGCACCGCTATATTATCCTATGTAAACTATTTTAATCTGGAGACAGCATGGTGTTACAATAGTGTGTATTAAGGGCCAGTTCACACTACATGCGTTTTCAGTTGCTTTTTTCTGCATCCAAAACGCACAGAAAGTAGGTTATATGGTTGTCAGTGTCCTAGTTCACATTTATTACTTGCAGTTCCAGTGCGTTCCGGTTGCAGAAAAAGATGTAGAACATGCTGCATTTTTTTTCTGCATGGAACTGTAATCGAATGCACTGGAACGTACATGTCCCTATTTAAATTGAAGAAATTGGGGCAAAAATTAACTGGAATGCATAAGGAACAGGCATCCGGAACGCATATGGACTGCTTTTCTATAGTGTGAATACCTTGGACTGTTTATTTTCCAAAAATCAGTCATTTTTAGTACTGTCCTAGCATTTTAGGGCCTCAAGAAATGAGATCCGCCATCAGTACATCAGGACTGATCGATTTTCACATATGTATGCTACAGTTTGTGAACTCTTAACTTTCCCACTGACTAAAGCATACACAGTGATCTTGTTTTTTTTTTTTTTTTTTTTTTTTGAACAAAGAAATGTAGCAGAATACATTTTGGCCAACATTTATGAAGAAAGATTATTTATTTGAAAATGTTATAACCGAAACAAAAACACTTTTTTTTTTTTTCCTCTTTTCTTTTTCTTTCCCCCAAAAATTTTCGGTATTTTTTATTTATATAGCAAAAACTGGTGGTATTTAATCTCCACTGGGTTTTTCAAACGAAAGCTATATTATGTTTCCAGTATAAGGTGGTTAAACATTTCTTGCTATGCACTTCTGCACCATCTCCTCCTTTAGGCTGCTTTCACACTGATCTGTTTTACTTCCACTTTTGCATTAAAAAAGCGGAAGAAAAACGTGTGAGCATGTAATCCTATCAAACTCTTTACAGTGATTTATTGCGGGTCAGCTGTGTTTTTTTTTTTTTTTTTTTTTAAATCCTGCTTGCTGCATTTTTGGTGTGGTGGAAACACTGCACCAAAAACACACCTCCCCATTAAAATGAATGGAAACTCGGCAAAAACGCACCCACATTGCATTTTTGCTGTGGTTTTTTTGTTCACATGTCCTGTAAAAAAAAAAAAAAAAAAATGCACCACAAACATGGTAAAAACTGATCAGTGTGAAAGTAGCCATTCAAATTTTAATGTGCTACTAATTTTCTCCACCAGAGAGCCTCATGACTAGAATGTAAAAGTGCAATCTGTTAGTAGAGGTGAAATTGATACAGAAACTATATTTAGCAGCGAAGAACGTTATTTTGGATTAAACTTTTTTTTTTTTTTTAATAATATCCACTGTAATAAGCAGTCTAAATATAAATCAATCCATTTTTGGGTATTCTGTTTAATACCTTACTATAGCTAACTGGGTGCTGAGGGCTTTGACATCGTTTGTAATTTTGTTCAAGCATATTTTGATGAGTGGCGTTTGGTCTGTATCCTTTTGTAATTTTGTTTTCCTAAAATCTTGAGATGCTTAAAGCATATATTTAATGGACAAAAATATTTGGATGGATGTTAAAATGCACTTTGCCCACTAACAAAACTTGGGCATTCCACACGAAGTACAGTAGTGGAGCATATCAGCATAGATTTAGAATTGATATAGCATTCTTGCTCTTTGATTAAATGGTTGGGTTGCACTTTTTCTGTCCTATTAGGTACTTTGACCCAGGCAATACGGAATTTTGCAAAGAGTCTGGAAGGATGGCTAACAAATGCCATGACTGATTTTCCCCAGCAAATAGTCCAGGCAAAGGTATATAAAAAATATTTTCATAAAGTAATCTGTTATAGCAGCAACAGTTGCTCAATGCCTTTTTTTTAATGATCTTCAATGTATATTATATAATTATTTTTTGTTTTATTTTGTAGGTTGGTGTTGTCAGTGCCTTTGCCCAGACCCTTCGTCGATACACCTCATTAAATCATTTGGCACAAGCTGCCCGTGCTGTTTTACAAAATACATCACAAATCAACCAGATGCTTAGTGATCTTAACAGAGTAGATTTTGCAAATGTTCAGGTACATAACTGAACTAATTTATCTTGTATATGATTTTTATCTTTAGATTTCTTGCTGCTTCATCCCTTTTTTGGTTTGAGGGTGTCTAGTGAAAACCTGAAGAGATGGCTCAGTGACATATACAGTTGTGTCCAAAATTATTCAACCCCCACTGAAATTGAGTGTTTTGGCCAGTTTGACATTGCTTTTGATCATTCAGTCATCTTGCTTACATTTACATTAAAGAGGCACTTGTAGGTCAGACAAATATAACATAACAGTTATAATGAAATAACCACAAATGTCTTTTCTGTGCTCACAGCATTATCAGTTTTATTCAACCCCCAAGTGACATTCAATCTTAGTACTTAGTACAGCATCCTTTTACAGTTATAACAGCTTTTAAACGTGAAGCATAGCTTGACACAAGTGTCTTGCAGCGATCTACGGGTATCTTCGCCCATTCTTCATGGGCAAAGGCCTCCAGTTCAGTCACATTCTTAGGCTTGCGCACTGCAACTGCTTTCTTTAAGTCCCACCAGAGGTTCTCAATCGGATTTAAGTCTGGTGACTGCGATGGCCACTCCAAAATGTTCCAGCCTTTCCTCTGCAACCATGCTCTAGTGGACTTGGAGGTATGCTTGGGATCATTGTCCTGTTGAAAGGTCCAACGTCTCCCAAGCCTCAGGTGTGTGACGGACTGCATCACGTTTCCATCCAATATCTCCTGGTACTGAAGAGAATTCATGGTACCTTGCACACGCTGAAGCTTCCCTGTACCTGCAGAAGCAAAACAGCCCCAAAGCATGATTGACCCTCCACCATGCTTCACAGTAGGCAAGGTGTTCTTTTCATCATAGGCCTTGTTCTTCCTCCTCCAAACATAGCGTTGATCCATGGGCCCAAACAGTTCTAATTTTGTTTCATCAGTCCACAGAACACTATCCCACAACTTTTGTGGTTTGTCCACATGGCTTTTGGCATACTGCAGTCGACTCTTCTTATTCTTTGGAGACAGCAAGGGGGTACGCCTGGGAGTTCTGGCACGGAGGCCTTCATTACGCAGTGTGCGTCTTATTGTCTGGGCTGAAACTTCTGTACCCACATCTGACAAATCTTTTCTCAGTTCCTCAGCAGTCACACGGGGACTTCTCTCCACTCTACGCTTCAGGTAGCGCACAGCAGTCGAAGTCAGCATCTTCTTTCTGCCACGACCAGGTAGCGTTTCAACAGTGCCCTTTGCCTTGAATTTGCGAATGATGCTTCCTAAGGTGTCTCTTGGTATGTTTAACATCTTTGCAATCTTCTTATAGCCATTGCCCTTCCTGTGAAGAGAAATCACCTCTTCTCTGTGTTTCCTGGACCATTCTCTTGCCTTCACCATGTTTGTAACCACACCAGTAAATGTCTAGAAGGAGCTGAGTATCACAGTCATTTTAAAGCTGCCTAATTGGTGCTTATTATGCTTGATTGCTGCTCGGTGACATCCACAGGTGTTTTCAATACCTGATGGAAAGCACCTGTATGAACCTCTGTTCTTCAGAGTGGTAGTCTTTAAGGGGTTGAATAATTGTGGCAATGAAGAAACCACATAAGAACCATTTACTACTGTATTACATAAACAATTGATGTCATTTTAGTTGCATTTGGGTAGTTACAACGTCCTTGTAGGATTTGATTCTGAATACAATTCCAAATGTACACTATAGTCCCTAAACCCCTTTACAGCATTGGGGGTTGAATAATTTTGGACACAACTGTAGCTCTCAGGTCATCATATGCTCCCTTCTACTTTACTGCATTAACAGCCTGCCAATATACCTTCACTCCTACATATACTGGCTGCCGTCATACCGTCTGCTTGCCTTTCCAGCAAACACTGTACACTGTTAAATCCTCCAGGCTCCTCTCCTGCACATTATGCCTGCTAAAACCCATCTTTTTATTATTGCTTGCTTGGAAGGGTTGTATTCTAATCCTATATTAAAAATGAGTTTGCTTATGTCATTGTTCTGTCTTTGCTGCTAACAGGAACAAGCATCCTGGGTGTGCCAATGCGAGGAAGGCATGGTTCAGAAGCTGGAACAAGACTTCAAGTTAACCCTACAGCAGCAGAGCTCGTTGGACCAGTGGGCAAATTGGTTGGATAATGTAGTCACCCAGGTGCTAAAGCCTTATGAAGGGAGTCCCAGTTTTCCAAAGGCTGCCAGACAATTTCTGTTGAAGTGGTCTTTTTACAGGTTAGAGGATAAAAAATAACATGGTTACCTTTCTCTAAATAAAGTTTTATAGTTTTCTGCATTTAGGTTGACCACATGCAGGGGCCATAGATCATTGGGGTAGGGTTCAGCCTTGAGTACCCAGAGAACAATATTTGGCACGCCTCCCACGACGGGACAAATTGTGGTGTATATACAGTGCCCCCAGCAGGCACATCTGTTTAGTGAACAAATAGTAAACATGGTCTTAGGCTTCAATGTGTGGTTTCTAAAGAGGTCAGTTTGTAAGGCTGTTTACAGAGGTGCGCGTCTTCACATTTAGGGCTGAGCTGCTGGTAATTGGGGTGTCGTAACTGTACAGAGAGAGCTGATTTGCCTCTGTGTGTCCCCAGGCTTTGGTGTTGCTTCCAGGTGGTTTTCCCTGCACAGCTCATCTATCTCCTGGCACACATTCCCTAAGCCTCACCTGGGTTTGTACACAGCACTCTCTGCTGCAATCCTCTCTCTTCACCCAACTTCTCCTGTGCTGCAGGCTGCTTGCTCCCCAGTCCCTGCTAGCACTCTCTGCATGCTCTGCACCCACAATAACTTCTACTTTCCCAAAATGCCTCCCCCTGCATTTTCTCCTTGCCTTTGTGTGGGGCCAAATCAGGCTGCCGATGCAGTGAATCAGTTGTCCTGTCCACTGTCCTATCAGGACCACCATTAGAAATCATGTGGCCCAGTACAGACTTCGGCTAAGCCCCAGTTTTACTGCCCCTTGGTCACCCATCTTAATTCTAAAATACAGCTGTAGGAGGCTACAAGCTGTGGCTTTGACCATTTATGCGTCAAAGCCGTAGAAAATTTGACATGGCAAATTGAGCTGACTTCTATACTTGGCCATTCAAGTCAATGGAGCCATGCCACAACTGAGCCAAACACTTTGCTTGTGGTCATCTCTTGAACACCTGACAGCAGCTGCATTGCTGCACTTTGAAAGGTGAACTACTGTGGATCACTTTTCAGAGCTTTGGATAGTGTGAACCTAGCCTGATAACAAAATAATGAACACTGCTCCTGGTTGGATCATCTGCACTCCAGTACCGACATTTAATTGTAAATATAGGAATATAGGCAAAACTTTTTTTTAAATTTTGGATGGCGCAAGAGCGGATTATCACCCTGTCTTTTTTTTTTTTTTTTGGCAGTACAAGACACATGCTGTACAGTGTGATCATCAGCATGATACTGATGATCACAGGTGCTGTGGCTGTATCATTCATGGCTGCAGGTAGTACTGCATAGTATACTATACTGTCAAATGTAGTAACGGTAGAGTACTGCACCTTGTGTCTCTAGTACTATACTAGCCCGCTGGATGAAAGAAAAAAAAAACCTTTCCTGCCGCCCTATAGCAGAATTACTGCAGGGCTGTGCAAAATCACGTATGATTTGCATTTCTGGATGGGGGGGGGGGGGGGGCATGCATGCTCCACTATTGATGTGGTTCTCAGCTGGGACTCAGCGATCATCAGGTAAAGCTGACAGGGGAAAGACCTGTGTATAAACAACATGCTGCTTTGTATTTCTCTGCACAGCATGTCTCCATAGTAAAACTCTTTGATCGCCCTAGATGTTAACCCCTTCCTGCCCAGTGTCATTAGTACAGTGTCAGTACTTTTTATTAGCACTGATCACGGTATTAGTGTCACTGGGGATGTCAGTGGCAGTTAGTCAGTTCCTCCCCCCCAGTGTCCTATTTATAAAAATAAATAAATAAAATCCTAGTGTATATATTCAGCCATTTGTAAACGCTATAACTTTCACGTAAACCAATTAACCACTTGCCTACCGGGCACTTATACCCCCTTCCTGCCCAGGACAATTTTCAGCTTTCAGCGCTGTCGCACTTTCAATTGCACAGTCATGCAACACTGTACCCATATGAAATTTTTATAATTTTTTTCACACAAATAGAGCTTTCTTTTTGTGGGATTTAAACACCGCTAGGTGTTTTATTTTTTGCACTATAAACAAAAAAAGAGCAAAAAATTTGAAAAAAAAAATGTTTTTCTTTGTTTCTATTATAAAATTTTGCAAACAGGTAATTTTTTTCTCCTTTGCTGATGTGCAATGAAGAGGCTGCGCTGCTGGGCACTGACTGGCAGCACTGCTGGGCACAGGTGGGAGGGACTGCTGGGCACTGATCATCAATGCAGATCTGTTCGCTGACAATTGCTGGTTCTCAGCAGTACTTTCCTCACTCTGTGACAGCGTGAGGAAAGTTCAGCTGATAACCGGCAACTGTATTTACCTGATGATCTGCTGTGTCATTGGACACAGCTGATCACGTGGTAAAATGTCGCTGTGATTGGCCTTTTACCACATCACGAGATCTGCTGTGCCTGTAGGTGATCACGGAGGTTGCTGGGTGCGCGCCCCTGGGGGTGCGTGGGAGGGCGTGTTCTGGGAAGACATAATATGACTCCCTCACAGTACTGGAGAACTTTGCTGTAGCCGTCATTCGGCTATAGCGCAGTTGGCAAGTGGTTAATTTACAAGTACAAGTAGCAGAATACATTTTGGCCTAAATTTATAAAGAAAGTTTGTTTTTTATTTTTTTACTAAACATGTTTTGTAGCAAAACGTTTTTCAGAATTGTCGGTCTTTTTTTGTTTATAATGCAAAAAAATAAAAACCACTGAGGTGATCAAATACCACCAAAAGAAAGCTCTATTTGTGGGGAAAAAAGGACATAAATTTAATTTATGTGCTGTGTTGCATGACCGCGCAATTGTCAGTTAAAGTAACGCAACGCTGTATCGCAAACATACTGTGAGATTTGACCAGGAAGGTGTAGAGACATGTAGTACTGGGAGGGAGGGGGAGTGAAGTTGGGGGTGAAAGGGAGTGGAGAGCGCTCAGTGAAGAAAGAAGGAGAGGGATTATTTAATACTTTGCAGTCAGTAGCAGACCTCTCACCTCGATCACTGCAGGACCTTCGCGCCGTGCAAACAGTTCTGCAGCTTCTGTTCAGGCTTCTCCCCACATCAGACTTGCTGCATCCCACACCCGACAGGAATGAATTTGGAGGGAAGGACAATGCGCTTTGTGCACCCATTGGCTGAGGAGACAGCAGTACCGCCCCCTGCTGCCTTCTCAGCCAATGGGTAGCTGAAGTTCATCATAAGTGCCTCCCTCCCGACATACAGGGCCTCCCGAGTACTGACCTGCTAAACCGTGTGCGCAAGCCAGGGACAAATTTACTTTTGATCCAGTATCCAACGTCCTGAGCCCTGCCTGTCAACAATGTGGGTGAGACAGATGGTGTTCCACGACAATGTGGCTCCCGCAGCTGCAATGCGGCCGCTCTAGCCTAGCTGCTGTGACATTGACTGATGCTCTGGGGGGTAGGGGTTGGACCCCCTGACCCTCCCCTTATCTATGCCCCTGACCACATTAATACATAAATAGATGTATGTAAGAGTGTTCTATACAGAACTGATCTTTAAATGTAAACACGTTCTTCTTGAGGATCAGACTGTGACATTTTTTTTTTTTTTTTTTTAATTTTCCTTAAAGGTGCTCTTGCCTTCATGGAAGTGCCATCCCCTTCAGGCTCCCTGCTAGTGGCCTATATTTGTTGTAGTTCTGGTGGGAACTAACTGTTCTGGCTATGTAGATTTAGGCTAGGTTGCGTTTGTGCCGTTTCTGCAGTGCGTTTTTGATGCATTTTGCAGGGGGGGGGGGGGGGGTTCCATTTTTTTTTTTCTCTTGTTACTAGGCAGATTAAAATGCAGCAAAAACACAATACATGTTTTTCTGCAGCGTTTCCATTGAAGTCTATAGAACCAAATACGCAACTTTTTGCATCCAAAAAAGTCCCTGACTTGTTCCAAAAAATGCACCGGTTGAAAACGCTCAGATGTGAGCATGTCTCATAGGACATCATGTTAAATGGACTGTACTGCGTTTCTGCAAAATGCAGAACACTGCAGAAAACTCTTAGGTGTGAACCTAGGGTTAAAGATGGCCACATACAGTTTTTGTTTCAGGTTCAATCTGAGATGATCATAATTTATTAACCACTGTGTTAGTTCAATGCATCTCATTGCCTTTCTTATAAGAAAAATATGGAGGCTTCCATTGCTAATCTCTCCTTGTGCAAATGATTGCCTGGCTATCATGCTGTTCCGGTATCTAAGTGAAGTCTGAGTCCCTGACCCATATTCCTAAGTACTTCCCACAGATACCAAAGTCCGACGTCTCCTCCAGATTGTGATTGATTGATGCATGTTTGCTCAGCGTCTTAAAATATATTTCCACTTTTGCAGTCAAATTTGAGAAAACCCCCAGTGTAGGTTTATATTCCTATTCATATACCTAAAAGAAAATTTAAAAAATATATAATTTTTACCCTTTTATAGCAGTTTGTTTGGAGCAGGGTTATACATAGGACACTATAGACAGCTTCTGTGTCTTTGAATAGATGAGTTTACAGGTCGAAAGACAAGCGAGGGGCTGGTTTTACATTTTTTTTTTATTAGTGCATTACCATGCCTGGAAATCTTTCAATTTAAATTAACAAGACTGTCTGTCCTAACATAGGGTTAAAGGTGATAATTCTGTCTGAACTGTGTTGGCAGATTTCATTAACTAGGGCAAATACAAGTTTTCATGCCCCTCTTAGTCAAGGAGCACTAAGGATTTTTCAGTCCCAGAGTTTCCAAAAAAGCCTCTAAAAAGAAAAGCTGCAATTTGTAAATACTTGTGGAAGTTATTCTATATGACTGAGAACATGTAACATATATAAAGTAGGTGTTATCCCGGTTTGGCTGCAAAAGTGGAAATACACTTTAAAGTGTTGAATCCAGTCAACTAGTCATCATTGGCTGCCCTGTTTTCTCCGGTATCCATTAAAACAGGTCTTCCAATTCTATCTACAGCATAAAGGAAATGTTTGGATGAAGTTCCACTAAGTATTCTGTGAACATAACATTCTTCAAACATTCCTAACTTTTCTCTCCTACAGTTCAATGGTTATCCGGGATCTCACCCTGCGCAGTGCTGCCAGTTTTGGATCCTTTCATTTAATCCGACTGCTGTATGATGAGTACATGTTCTACTTAGTAGAGCACAGAGTGGCTCAGGCAACAGGAGAGACACCCATTGCAGTGATGGGCGAGGTGAGTTCACAGATTTTCAAATGGTTATCATATTTGCATAGAACGTGTCTTTATTTTATATACCAATGCAATTTTTACTTTTATCTTCTGTAGTTCAGTGACCTGTCTACTATGTCTCCAGTAACAATGGATAAAGGTGAGTTGAGGATCAAGTTGAGATTTAAGAGCATCAGGTATATTGTAAAAAAATGTTCAGGTCAAACTGATTTTGTTCCAAAAAAAGTGCAATCTTGAATGTTAACACAGAATAGTGCTGGTGAAAAATAAAGATACTTATCTTGAATGTGAGAACTGTTTTCAGTGCATCAGCACAATACATAAGGACTATAAAAGAAGCAATATTTTCCCCTTTAACAAAAGCTTGTACTGAAGAAACTTGGGCTGACCTTGAACTGTCCTTTGTAAAATACTTGTTTCTTGGTTGTTGTGTTGATCTAAATTCAATACTTTTTTGAGTCACTTAGGGTGACCATGCACACTACAATCTGATTGTTTAATCTCCTTTAAATTGACAAAAATTATGCAATAATGAGGACAAATCTAAACCATTCTTTCAATGTGTATCCAGTCATGAAGTTCCAGTTTGTCATATGTGTATCCAGTTTGGTTTATGCCAAACATGCTGTTTTTAAGCTTTAAGCCTTATTCACACGGGTATACCTATGTGTACACCCTTGTAAATGAGTCTTTGCCCGCACAGGTTCGTCCCATTCATGTCTGGTCCCACAGCTGCTGGTCCCAATTCAAAATCCATGTAGATGCACATCCTTGAACACAAAAGGTGTGCATTCAGTGACATGCACCCGCATGGCCATGAAATTGGGACTCAAGGCTGTATCTGTACACAGCATCTTCAAACAGGTGTTTGCATTGGTACGCCTGTGTAAATGAGGCCTTATTCTGATGGCACTAAAGCTCCGCTTTGCTCTAATCCGACTCTAGATTTTTTCTTCTAGCTACATTTAGAGCCCCTCTGTTGCCTGCTGGCGAATGATAGGCTGGATTTTGTGTGGGTTTTAGTTAACAATGGTTTTCTTTTACCATAAAGCAGTGTTTGGTGAAGCACTCAGGCTAAAGTTGTATGTATAGTCTCATCAAGCTTACCGCAGAGGCTTATAGACAACGTCAGAGTTGTCTTGATGTAGGGTATGCCATAATACTGACTCATGCAAGTTGGACCCTCTCAATAAATGAAATGTACACAGGTGATCTCCAGTTACCCAATTGGAGTTGATTTACTAAAACTGGAGAGTGCGAAATCTGGTGGAGCTCTGCATAGAAACCAATCAGCTTCCAGGTTTTATTGTCAAAGCTTAAAGTGGCTCTAAAGGCTCAAGGTTTTTTACCTTCATGCATTCTATGCATGAAGGTAAAAAAAACCTTCTCTGGGCAGCAGCCCCCCCTAATACTCACCTAAGCCCCCTCTTGATCCAGTGTTGTGCACTGGAGTCTCAGCTATCTCTGGACTCCTCACTGGCTGAGACAGCAGCGGGAGCCATTGGCTCACACTGCTGTCAATCACAGCCAGTGAGCCAATGAGAAGAGAGATGGGATGGGCCGAGCATTCACACACGGAGCCATGGTTGCCCCATAGCAAGCTGCTGCTGTAGGGCCACCCAACAGGAGGGGGAGGGGCCAGGAGTGCCAGCGGAGGACCCAACAAGGAGGAACAGGGCTGCTCTGTGCAAGACCACTGCACACAGTAGGTAAGTATAGACATGTTTGTTATTTTAAAAAAAAATGTAGTCCTTTTTATTATCACTTTTTAATTGAGCAAGCTGAAGATGGGGCTGACTGGCTACCATGCACAGCTGCACCAGATTTTGCACTCTCCAGTTTTAGTAAATCAAACCCACTTTGGAAAAGAACTGGCTGTCCCATTTGATTTTGGGGTGTCATTTTAAAGGGTGTCTGCTTATGCAATAATTAATTTTGTTTTGTTTTTTCATGTAGTTCATTTAGGACAGTTTGCAGAGATATGTCTTCACTTTTGATAAAGAGTAGTCTATTTCGGTTCAAACAATATGTGAAATTCACTTTCCTTATGTTCCATGATAATACAACAAGAAAATGTACAAAGCAGATGAATATTTTTGTAGGAACTGTATTTCAGCTTTAGTCCACAACTTTAAACATGCCCTGTTGACACTTCATTGCTGTTTAGAGATTAGTAAAAGATGCTTTTTTGTTTTTAATTCTGGTCTCTCTCCCTTCTATACAGACAACATGAGTGAGCTGGGCAGTGATGATGCGTCCGGTGAGACACCAGTGAAGAGGGAACGTGTGGAGATGAACCACTCCCTGCAGGAGGTGTAATACAGAAAAATTTCCAGCGCCTTATTGCTCCCAGTAATGGAATCACCTCATGTTTGAAGGCACACCTGCCTCAAACAAGAACTCCGTGAATTTAGTGCCTCTGCCACACATGACACGTGTTTTGGAAGAACTCTGCCATTCATTGATATTCAGTGTTAGAGTCCTGAAAAGTGAAGTTTGGCATGGGACAAATGTGACATCACCACATTCCTGACAATCTCACTCCAGACATGTGTGCTATGTGCTAATTTATCCTTTTACCTTTTTTTTCCTCTTAAATACATTTCTGAGTTAGTATTGTAGGAGATGTTTCCATATATTTTTGGAAGCTTTAGGGATTGTAGCTCAGGCTTTCCATTTTCCTAATCCAGTTAGGTACATTGTTGGGTTCCTAACTGCACCATGGCTCTGTTACCTCGTTATTCTGAAGCGGGCAGTTTTTTGCCAAATCATACTGCATTTAAACACAATGAGTACCTGCAATGCATGGTTGTGATTGGAGAAATGATGAAATAAACATTATTGTACATAAAAATAGTAGCTCATGATATTCTGTTAATTAGTGTAATCTGCGGTGAGTGCTTGCCAAGAGTATGAAAAAGACACCTTTTTTTTTTTTTTTTTTTATGCCCATTAACATGTGACAACTTGTTGAAGGAATCTCCCTGCCTTTTTTCCTGTTAACATCTGCTTATTAAACTTTATCAGAAATTAGGAGCATGTACTTTTGGCATGACACTGGTTTATATTCTTTGCGAATGAAAGTTTATTTAGTCTGTTTAAAGGGAATCTATATTGGAAAAAAAAATGGCTTTCTTGACATAAATGGTTAGTGTATAGTGTGAATTAATCATAAAATATTTGATATTGCTGCTCCATACTTACCAGCCGTCACCAGTGGGCAAGAGATCTCATCAGAAAAGCAGCTGCTTGACCAGCCACTAAAACTGAATTTAAACTATGCTGATGAGTGGCAAGACTTATAAATTGGAATAGATTATTAAGTGATGATGAAAGCATGCTTTTTGACCACTGCATGTCATACTGGTGTAAAAATCTTTAAGACATAATTACTAGGGTTTATTGCTACAAAAACAGCAACTATTAAAATTGTTTGCATCATCAGACAGTTCATTTTGTTGTGTGAAGCTGTGCAAAGCATCAAATGATTTTGATAACCCCTTTCAACTAAAACAAAGATGAACCCTTAATAACTTTTAATGTTAGTCACTCCAGCCATGCTCAGTATCCAGGGTAACCCTACTCTCTAGCTTTTAACTTGAATTGCCCTTTTGTTACACAGTGCCTCACAGTACTAACACAACACCGCTTAATAAAATGACATAACTGAGAGCAGGGTATTCATTTTGCAGATAAGGTGCGTGGTGGATGTTGCCAAGCATATTAATTCAACACTCAATAACATCACATTGACTTTATTATTGGTTTATCTTCAAGTCACGTTTCTGTAATGTGAATTTTTAGATTTTTTTTTTTTTTAATTGATACCAGTTTGCTGGATGGAGCAACTTACTGTCCAAAGCTTTTGGTACTTGGAAGGTATTTAATATTTAGTCTTTTAAAATACTGTATTATGCTAGAAAAAAAAAGGTAATGAGCTGGCATATCTCTCTGAATATAGCAGACCTGTCATTACCTAGGTGCAAAAAAACACAAGATGCCTGTTACTTTTCCTAGCCAGAAACACCTCCTAGTGTGCCTCTCTAAAACTAGTTCCATTTTACCTGCTAGGGGCTTTCAAGGTTGAGTTCCACCAGCTGTCCTTGCCCTTCCAGTGAGAGTGTTCTTACAACTGCCAAAGTATCTCATTTATGACCAGAAGATCATGAGAAGGATTAAGCAGTGAGAGCATTATATGTAATCGCTCAAGTAACCCAGGATATACTTTAAGGTGCACAACAGCTATCCTACACTGGTCCAGGAACAAAAACTTGGATTCACAGCAGGTGTCCCAGCTGCCTTATCACTACTAGTAGGGGTTGCCTCCAAGCATATATACATGGCTGTGTGCTGAGTAAAATGGGTGAATAATGAACAGTATAAATGTATTCTATTTTTATTTTTTAATTTAGAAGTGAGGCAGTTTTAAACGATAATTATCAATGCAAAAAGAAAGCATGCTATAGATTCCCTTTAAAGTCTGTGGTGAATGTGCAGCCATGGCTGTTCTGACTTGTTTAGATACCAAAGCATCTTGTAAGCAAAGCACAAGGGGGTTTTGCTCTTTATTTGTGAGACTTGGTTGTGCTGATTTTGGGCAGGCCCCTTTTTGTTTTTGCTGTGGTGCCTTTTAGAATCCAGTCATGGATATTTGTATTTTTTAGTTGTAATTTTTAAACCGATAAGGACTGTTGTCTAACTCAACGTTGACTTAAGTATCTGTAACGCGATAGATTTGTGCTGGTTTTTGCTCAGTGTCTTTTTTTTTTTTTTTTTTTTTTTAATTTTCCTGGCTCCTTTTGGCATTAAAGAACCAAGAGTTTAACAATTCAGTGCCTTAGTATATCTGATCCTGCCTTTCCACAATCCCCCTGTTCCTCTGTTGATTTTTATTTGTGTTTCTGTCACCTAGTCCATAAACAGCTGGCTTATTTAAGCCTTATCCAGCTTAGGTATATCTTTTTCTAGCTATTTTATTTTAGTGTATATCAGCCTAGTGGCTTCTGTGAATAAAGCAGGTACCATGTTGATGTAAGTAAAATAGAGGCCACAGGTTTTTCTAAAAGGTGCCCATAGATCTGAGACAATTGTCAGACTATAGGAGGATCAATCATATACTTATGGGTGTTCTGTAACCTTTGAAGAGCTCCCCCTGGCCAGCCATTTTCTGGGACAGCATCGATCTTTCAAAATAGATTTTCTAAAACTATATTCATTATTCTTAAGATAATGCTTGATGCATAGGCATATAATACACCCATATGCAATAAACGTGTAAGTCCGTGTCATAATTGTTCTATGATGGTGGTTTGATGGTCAAATCTTCTGACTGTCATTTCAAGGCTATGTGTGTAGCCTGTGGTATTGTGTACATGGGCACAGTTTCTGTGAGTGCTAGGAACTTAGCTGGCACAAATATATTTTATAGACTGCTATTCCGAGTGAAAAATTAAATGTGCATTGGGTATGCGGACTAAGTGAAAAGAGCACAGCTTCCTTACTTGCAGAAACTGCTGAGTTGTGTTAACCATGTGAACAGAACTCAGGACAGCAGAACACAGAAAATGTCTTTGAACACAATCCCTGAAAGCTTCAACTTGTTCAGTAGTTTGCTCTACAAATGAGTGCATATGAAATGATCAATAAGTGGTATATTGTGTAGTGTTTTGATGAAAATTTGCTCACAGTTTTCACCTGGTGTATCTGAAATTAGTTACTTGCAAATAAAAAAAACTTGTATCTAGTTTTTGACTGAAATGTTATATAATGCTTAAAAGTCAGCATTATAATAAATTAAAGATGACCTATCATTGCAAATGATCCAACTTTCAAAATTTTAAAGTGGTGATCCTGCAACAGGACTTTTCCGCTGTTTTTTTTTTCTTTTCTTTTCTTTGCTCCTGCCCTATTGTGACCATGTGGCCTTGTAACCCCTTCCCTTTTTGGGAGTATGTAGTTGCCTTTCTGTTTAACACTTTGCAAGCCTGGGAATTTCAGAAGTAGAAAAAATAGAATGTCAAATAAGCTCAGCATTTACCAAACTTGTCTATTGCATCTGCTACAATCCCTAGTGATTAATTGCTAATGGTAGCAAACTATTACTACAGATGGTACAGAAGGTATCTTGTGATGTAAGCTACACAAATGGCATATGTAGTAGCTATTTAGTCACACATAACTAGCATTGGGAGCTTATTCATCATTTATCACTACATGTTACGTATGTAGTTTACACCATAGGGGCCATTTTATCTGTCTGTTTTTAAGTGCTAGAAAGTGTAGCAGTGTTTACAACTTGCTTTGTAAATGCTTGCTGTACACATTGCTCTTTAGATTACATTTTTAAGATGAAGACTGGGTAAATAGGCCTAAATTGAAATTTATAGCAAATATTCCCTATGCTGCAACCCTTAAGCTGTGGTCTAAAGAAGCACCAGACCTATGTCATGCAAAGGGTAAATAAACAGGTTGGTGCTCTTATACAATGAGAAATTTCCTGTGGGGTTTACAAAGTGTGGCACAGCACTTCAGGTTCTTTTGAAATGTACAGAAGAGTGCTTGTGAGTGTACATGAATTTATATACATATACCATAAATGCACGCTAACACTGAGCTACACCAGGCAAATGGATTTTAGTCCTTACCGTTCTGTAAAAATGGCCAAGATCTCTGCTCATTCATGTAAACTTTACACTTTTCATTCAGGCGTATATTCTAGCTCGCGCTATACTTCTGGCTTGCTGGCTTTGAGATCTGCCATGTTTTTGTTTACCTGCCCCTCCTCTCCCCTTGCCTCAGTCACTGAATGCCTTGCATTTGTTGAACCATAGCACAAGCTAAACTTATTCAGCTGAATGAAAGTGTAAATGTACAAAAATGGGCAGCAATCCAAGCCAATTTTTACACATAAAGAAGAACTCAAAGCAAATATTTCTTCATTCTTACTGTTAAGATGGCACTGATTTCTCCCAAAGAAACAGACTAATTCAGTCCTTAACAGACTTCAGGTTTCCCAGGCTTCAAAGAGACTACATGCTGTGTACACCTTTGTGTTATGCGGGAATGCGATTCCTGTTTTATTTTTCTAAAATAACATATTCAAGCTGTATTTTCATATGTAAATGAAATACACTATATATTTGACTAATTACACAATACTGTAAATATACATATGATGCCCATTTTGACACAATGCTTCATGTCTTTGGTCTTTTGTGACTTTCATTTTATTTTCTTGTAAAGTGAATATTGGATTATATTGAATTTAATGTGTTAATGTCTCTTCTGTCTTTATTTACACTACATATGTTGTATTTGAC